TTCTATCACCACCATCATGTTCGTCGTCATCATCATCATAACTTGTCGTCAAAGTCATATGATTGGCATGACAAGCGTAATCATTGCTAAAATTATCGTCATCATCATTATTTTGACGTTGTCCTTCATCTTCATCATCGTCATTGTTGTTGGTCGTATTCGCTCTAATCATCGTTATATTTATAGAATAAAAAAAGTTTGACATAATAGTAGTACATCATTTTAATCATCGTCATCGTCAACGATTTCGTCATCACATCATTGTCCTTATCATCGTCCTAATTGTCATCATATCATCGTCCTAATTGTCATCATATCATCGTCCTAATTGTCATCATATCATCGTCCTAATCATCCTCATCACCTTTACAAACAAATGTTAAGGATGAGCAGATAGCACGGAGGCAACGCAACAAACACGCAACGAACAATAAATCTCATTGGCCGATGAGAAAATGTTCCACCATTAATTTTCACCATCGCCCCTGTCGTTACGTCACAACCATTATCTTTGCCATCATTATCACATTTGCATCATTTTCATCATCGCCAGCCATCCTTATCATATCTATATCATCATCATTATATCTTGATCACATCAGTATCATCATCTTCATCATCACTATTGTTAAACCAACATCATTATTTCAATGCTTCATTTTTGCTGAACTGTTTAAATTTAAATTTTCCCATATAATCAAACTTGAAAATTTGAAATTGGGTTGAACAGTTAGGTAATTATTTTTTTGTTTATCTCAAACGACAACTGGTTAACCATATTTCAACCAGTGACGTCATCTTCATCATCATCTTCATCAGTATTTATTCTTAGCATCTTCATCACCTCTAGCATCATCATAATCATCGCCATCACCATCGTCATCAACTCCATGAAGTGTCAGACTCACATTGATGAACTTAATTAACGTTCAAGGTATGCATTAAATTAACAAAGTAACTCTTTCAATATATATATATACATGCATACATTCATACATACATACCTACATATATACATACATACATACATACATACATACATACATACATACATACATACATACATACATACATACATACATACATACATACATACATACATACATACATACATACATACATACATACATACATACATACATACATACATACATACATACATACATACATACATACATTCGTACATACATGCATTCAGACATGCTTGCATGGTGTACCTGAACATGAAACCAAGATCACCAAAAACTACAATTACATGCACTACTAATATTACTGCTATAATTATATCAAACTACTACCACCACTACTACTACTACTACTACTACCACCACTACTACTACTATTACCATTTCTGTTACTGTTGCTATTATTCATATTATTATTATTTCATATACTTCTTACAATGCTAATACTAACTATAAAATCATTCATTTAATTATCAAATAAAAATGTTTAAAATATAAAAGTGCTTTACAAAAATTTAATTAAATGATGGATAAATAGATAGATGGATGGATGGATGGATGGATGGATGGATGGACGGACGGACGGACGGACGGACGGACGGACGGACGGACGGACGGATGGATGGATGGATGGATGGATGGATAGATGGATGGATGGATGGATAGATAAGAAGATTTTTATGGCCAGTGGTTCAAAATGTAACATTTTGTCTTAAGAATTTCTTGTTGTACAGTCTTATATTGATTACGAAGCAAATTTCTACAAAAAACTTTAAATAAACTTCCTTGCCAACTGAATGAATAATGAATATTACAAATTCATGGTGGAGATCTTTCCAAAATTGTTTTTGTTTTGAAGATTGCAACGTCTGAAATTAAAATTAAACTCCTATTCAAACATCAAATGTAGCAACAATTTTCATCATGTGCATTTCTTCATTTATTATACAGATGGAGAAATACATAAATGAAGGTACGAATGAAAGAATATTGAAATAAAACTTTTGATTTTGTTTTTTGTGTACGTGTTTCAGCCTTTCCGTTTGTTTGTCCAGCGCGTTAATGAAATATAACGTTTAAGTATAAAAATATAAATATAATGTTCAAGTAAAAACTTGTATTATAACAAAAAATAAATAAATAAAAATATGTTCTCATTTTTTCCATAAAATACATTGCCTGACTTCTTCAGCTCCGTTTTGATTAATTATCAGCTGGAAAACTGGATTAATTGTGCTTGGTCATGGTTCTGTGTAAGCATGTGTGCATATGTACGTGCGAAAGTGGGTGTAGGTTTGTTTACCCGAAAGCATGCATGTGTGTTTTCGTCTGTAGTGTGTTTGTGCTTATTTGTGTTAAGAGATGGATGAATGTTTAAACATGTTTCATCAAGCATGAATGATTTTATGTTTGTTCATGTTTTCAGTGAGTGTACATGCACAGAACACTTACGCAAGTAGGATGTCGGTCTGTCTGCCTGTCTCTATGTATGTATCTATGTATGTATGTGTGTGTGTGTGTATGTATGTATGTATGTATGTTTGCATGTATGTATGTATGTATATCTATGCATGTATGTATGTATATCTAACTATATGTCTTTTTCTGCATGTTTGCCTGTTTGTGTGTGAAGGTTTGATATCTTTTGTTGTTTGTTCTAGCTGAACTTCTATTCAATCTGCGGAATTATCTACCTAAGAACAGCAGCTGCAAAATTTCTCACTCGAAGAAAATTTTCAAAAGAATTCAAAGAAGTAAAAAAAAATCGTACAATGAATTTTATTAATGAAAACAGAAATAATTTTAGTACTTTTAAAACCTCGAAAATATCATCAATTAACGAATTACGCTCCTTTATTCGTAACAGCCATGTATAACGTTTGTACCAATTGTGTTTAATACCCGGCTTAAAATTGTTAGAAAAGACCAAAAATTTGTCTGTAATTCATGATAAAAAAAATGGGATACCAATTTTGAGAAAAAAACCTTGTCTGACTATTTCAGTGGAGAGCAAACTCTTATAATGAAAAATATCAAGTCCATCAAATTGTTGCTGGGATTGTTGTTTCATGTTGCCTTTTTCTATTTTTACTGTTTTTTCATGCCTTGGTTTTTATTTTCATCTTTTCAATAACAAATGTTTTTTAATTTGAAAATTGTTGAGCGTATAAAAGAATGCCGTTTCCGAGAAATAAATAATGATGAGCTGTGAATATATACCGCCTCGTTAGGTTAACAACGAAAAAACATTTTAAATAATTCCAAAATACAAAGATTTATTTTATACTGTTTTAGAAGTGTCTGTTATCCAATCTAAAAAGTAATTAATATTTTTCTTGGAATTGTGAGATTTAAAACTTCTTTCCAATGGTAGGTCGAATGTTCACCTTTCATGTGATTTTCAATTTTTTGCCAGGAGACATCCAATCCAGTGACACGTTGAGGAGATACTTGAGGAGGAAATACATCTGAGAAAGAAGCAGGGTGCATGTAACTGCTGGATGGTGGTTAGGTGGAATAGATAGACGTATGGACAAATGGATGGATGGATAGATGGGTGAATAGATGGATGAATCTATGGATAGGTGGATGGAGTTATAGATAGATAGACGAAAATAAAGATGTATACTTTATTGTGTGAAAGTTGACGGTGATGCAAAGCTGATGATAGAAGTACAGATAAATGATTGGATGGAAAATTGTAGGATTGATTTTATAGATAGATTGTTGGTTGGATTGATAAACAAATGGGTTTACGGTTGATTAGATGGATGAATGGATAGATGGATTAATTGTTGGTTGGATTGATTAATGAGTAAATTAAATTAAAAACAAAAATTACAAGGTCAACCACTTATATCTTCATCGTCAATTTCCACACAATAAAGTATACATCTTTATTTTCATCTTTACGACAAATAAAGTCAGAGTTCAGACACCGGCTATAATTATTATGGATTATTAGTAGTCGTAATTGCGGTTGTTAGTCATTATTATTACATACATTTAATATTATTTTAGATAAAATGTCGACCGTTATTTAAGTTTTTGAAATAAATGTTTTTCATAACGCATTGACACATTATAATTATTAATTAATAATTATTACTTTAATAATTATTACTTCAATAATTATTAAATATGCATGACTAGTTATGTTATATTTATATAGCAGTTACTACAATTGATCATTTATCAAGCATTTAATTTAAAATCTCAGGCGTCCGACACACGTGCTGACGGCTTCAAATTAGCCGAGGCATGCTGTGAACACCAACAAATTAATTTACGATATGAGATGTGGGTGGATGCCTTATAAATGCCTTGGCTGTCGCTTTGAAATATGCGTAAAATGATGAATATGATTGTGTGAATGCAGTTTCTCTGTCTGTCTGTCTGTCTCTGTGTGTGCGTGCATTCTATAGTTGTACAAGATTCCACAAAATTATATGAACTTAATAAAATTTCTGAGTAAATATTAATGGTTTTAAAATTCAAATGCTTTATTTTCGTCTATAATATTTTTGTCAGTAAATAATGCATTGTCCGTCCAGTTGAGTATTCTTACATTCTGGCGTGTGTTATCAAGACGTGCAGATTTGATACTGTTTTGAACCGTTATGAAGAGTTTAATCATTCGATACACCGATGCGTTAGAACGTTGTAATCCAGTTAGCAATCCTTAAAAAGATGTTTCCTTATCTTTCGGACAATATTTATATCTGGATTCTAATATATACTATGGCATACTATTTGATACTATGACATTTATAAGATTTAACTGAAAATTTCCTTATGAATAAGATTAATAACTGAAGCAATCAATTTAATGTGAGTTATAAATAGTTAATTTGTAGTTCATATACGGATTTCTTATTTTTGTATTAAATAATTGCCATTCTATAACTTTAATTATATGTTTTAAGGTAGTTTACATTGGGATTACACATTACGAATATGTTCCCTATATTTTTTATGTAATTAATATAGAAATTGTATGAAATTTTTAATAATGTTTATATATAGCTTCGTTTCTTACACCTGCTCCAACTCCAACTGCATCATCTGGAAAATTACTTCCACGCTGAAAGCTGGAAGGCGCTTGAAGTTATTAATAATAACGATGCAACAATGATAAAAATAATAAATAATAATAATAATAAATAATAATAATAATTAATAATAATAATAATAACAGCAGTGATATAAATAATGATTATTGTTATCGTGTTAATGTAATTTTGATATTTCTTGTAATTTGAGATTTTCCAAGCGGTGTGCACCTAAAAAAAGATGCAAGATGGCATACGATTGTTGTTGTTGTAATGTTTTCCATGTAGTCATCATCACAACGTTCAGTTGTGTCGTTTCTCCATGGTTTGTATTGGAGAAGTTAGTTGTCATGCTGGATTTCAGTTCGTGTGACGGTTGTACCAGGAATGTCTGCAAGGATTTGTTCGTGTAAACTCCAAATAATGAAGACAAAATATTGCAACTTTTTCTCTGGGCTGTATAATTGAAAAAATATTTTTTAAAGTTTTCCTCCTACGTTATCTGCAAATATATTGAAAACATAGGTCTCAAGTTTTCCTAAATTTTTATTATTATCTACCAACGAATATGTCTCAGGCATGGAAATCAGAGATCATACTGATCTTGTGTGACGATGAATGAACGTAACAGACGATAAGTACAAACCGAAAATGAACATAAACTGACGAACAAAAAACATTGTGCTAAGACGGGCACGGAATCGACAAAATTCCATTGAAAATGGTATTATGTTTGCAAATTTAATAACACTTGTTCAATGAACTTGTCCGCTATTTTGCGCCTTATCTTCTCCCATGTTTTGTGCTGTTAAGTTGTCTGTTTGTTTGTGTGTGTGTATACAATGTACATGTATGTTTTTCTGTATGTCTGTGTGTGTGTTTGTATGTCTGTCTGTCTGTGTGTGTGTGTGTTTAACAACATATTTTGTAGTTATAGCTGTTTGCACTTAGTAAATGTATTCGTTTTTCTGTTTTGATTTGTTTTTGAACATGATAAAAGCATTTGGCGTGTACTTTAACAAAATTGCTGTGTACGTCTGGTCAGACAAGTTTGAAAATTTAAACAACTCTTCTGACCAGATGTTATACAGTCTGAATGATAAGCAAGGAAGATATGTTGTTATACCAAGGACCAGAAAAATTCAGGTTTTAATAACACTATGATTTGTTGGCAGATCACGCACGAGGGTAAAAATACAATTTCAAAAAGCAAACGCGAACTGATTGGGGTTTTATTCAATTGAATCTGAAATCTCAGCTTAGTGACGTTAACGTTAAAATCCTACGAAGCTGTAGCTACATGCGAAGGTTATTCAACTCGTTATCTGAATCATCAAACATTGATTTATGGAGGAGACGATTTCGAATGCACAATTGTAAGGAAAAATTTTTTATTGTGAAGTTGTTTTTTTATTTATCGATGCTACAATAACTTTATGAAAAAATATATGTGAGAATGTTTTAACGGATCGATCATATTTTTCACATAGTAACATTATACAAAATTGAATATTAACGTTACATTGTCTGAAGTCATAGACAATTTTTAAAATTTAGAAAATAAAAATCAAAAGCTCAAAAATGAAGAACTGCAATGCAGACAATTAAAATCAAGAAAAATCAAAAACATTTAAACGTCTTCACTGCAACAATTTTAACTGAGGCTTCAAATTTTTAGTGGCTTCGATATTAAAAATAACATCAACTCAGAAAGAATTTCAAAAATTGCTAGCGATCGTTATCAGTGCAGTTGTGATTAAAAAAATTTCTTTTCAACTCTATAAATTAAATTTTGAAATCACCGCACACATAGTCAACACGTACACACGTACATACATACAATACATATATTATTTATTCACTTACACACACAAATAAATTTATAAAAATGTATATTTATTTTTAGTGCTAAACAGACGTTAACAGCAGCAGCAGCAACAGAACCAACAGCCGTATACTCTAGCATCACAATTCATTCATCATCATTCAACCACAAATAAAAACCAACCAACCTTGACCTTGGTGAGATTGTGTGTTGCCAACTCGACCCTGGCAAAGTTGCCCCAGCCGAGCGAGACCCCGTCCAGCGTGTACCTTCCGATGCACTGAATCTTTTTGCCCATTCTTTTCAACAGCGGCTAGACGATGCTCGAAAATTGCATTGATTATCCTAACATTTATGTGGAGTGCCTTACATACGTATTTGTTTATTTGCTATTTTTCTGATGCCTTCTTGGTCGTGACAATAAATTTTCTATCAGATTCCTGTTTGTTTGTTAATATGTCAAATATGTGCAAATGTCCTTATGTTCAAATGTTCTACTTTACGTCCAGGTTGATACTGATTGATTTGTGTATTTTTTAAATATGTAATTTTCGTTTTTTGATTTCTGAGGTTATTTATTTTCAACAAATTTTATGTTGTGATGTTTCAATTATAAATTTAATTAATTATCTAACTAGTAATCAATAAAAATTTGTTCATCTGTGCATTAGTTTAATACAATAAAATATTGTTCTCGATTTCCGTGACGCTAATTAATGCAAAAAGTTTTCATTGTGAAAATAAAAACATCTATCCCGAGAACTAATGCATATGTTTCAACGTTTGATGTCGTCTCTATAGCGTTGTTGTTGTTGGCTGTTGTTGATGTTGTGCCTGATGTTGCTGTAGCTTATTCAGTTGATGTTGTTGTGCGTGGCTGATACTAAAATTGTAGTTGTTGATGTTTTCAGTGCTTTGAAAATGGTCTTTTCGACATGTTGATGTTTTGTAGTTGAGAAGGGAATTTTTATGTAACGCGTTTTGTATCATCCAACTGATCTTCTGTACACTAATTTCAGTTTTGTACAATTTCAGGCTGAAATGGAACGTCAATATATTGTTGTCATCTACATATATATATATATATATATATATATATATATATATATATATATATATATGTTAACAACGTTTTAATTGTCATGTATAATATAATAATTTTTAGATAAGTTTATTTGTCTGAAATAACTTCAAAAATTTTGTTAAAAATATTTTGTTGTATTTAAAATTGAAAAGTATTGTTTGGTTTTTTGTTGATTAATTTTTTCCTCATGCATTCTATTTCACGCGTCATCTAATTGTCATGTATAATATAATAATTTTTAGATAAGTTTATTTGTCTGAAATAACTTCAAAAATTTTGTTAAAAATATTTTGTTGTATTTAAAATTGAAAAGTATTGTTTGGTTTTTTGTTAATTAATTTTTTCCTCATGCATTCTATTTCACGCGTCATCTACGCTTCGTGTCGCCAACAAATTTTTCTATTGAAAATAAATGATTGTCAATATTGTCGCTGTGCTGCTGACGTTTGTTGACGAGGATGTTGTTGTTAATGTTGTTGTGAATGTTGATGTTAATGTTGTTGTTAATGTTGTTGTTAATGTTGATACTTATGAGATGTTTGATATTATCATCACGCTTGCTCCGCTGACTATTTCTGTCGTAAATATCCCTTCGATGAATAATTCTGTAACTTGCGAGTTATTTAAGAAGCTGCTGAAGTTGTTGCTGGAGTTGCAGTTGCGGTTGTTGCTTTTGTTGCGATGTTGTTCATGAATTTTATTTTTATTTCAACTTTGAATTCAATTTTTCAAAATAATTAACTAAATTCAAACTTTTACAAATTTTTTTCTTTATCACGCTTATAAACGTTTTTAAATGTTAACGATGAAATTGAAGCATACGATTAAAATAAGAAAATAAATGTTTTTTATGATCTACACATGAAAAAAAAATTTGAAGTATTTTTTTACAATTTAATACTGCAGCTTCGTTCTGTTACAGCTCACTTTCACTTTAGTAAATTTACTGAAAATAATATAATCAACAGATGTGCATTGCATACATTGTTGTTGTTAATGTTGTTGTTGTAACTTTGTTGATATAACTTATGTGATTGTTTGGTAATGTTCTGAGGTGTTTTTGTGGTTATTGCTGTCAATTCTATCGATTTTACCAAAATTCATGAGTGATACGAGTGACAAGGTTTATATTTTGCTCAATATTTCAAATTCAATACCTACATCTCAAAATTGTATAACCAAATTTAAAGTCAATTCATTTAATTTTTTTATTCCAAAAAAATATATTTAATGAAATGTTCTCAATACTAAACTTATCAACAGCTTTTAGATTAAATTTACCTATTTTCCCATTAATCTAACTTATATACCAAGATAATTATTTAAATAAATAATTAAATGAACAAATAAATAATAAAATTCTCACCTCAGGTATTCAGGGTAGGTGCCCAACAGTTACTTTCTAACTAATATTATTTACTTTTCTTACAAACAAATTACTCTAAATATTTATAAAATAATTAAAAATTTATAAACCTGTTTGTTTTCAAAGAACATTTTCAACTTTTATATTGCAAAGTGAATAACATTCAGTATAAATAAACGAGTTTGTATTATCATAAGTATTTTGTTTGCGATCGATCCTATTGCAGTTTAAATGGATTGAGAATAAAATATAGGTAACGAAATTTAAAATGATTTTATCGAAACATTTTCACACATTTTTTGTACAATTATGTGTAAAAAATGATGTTTTATTATATTTTTGAATTTACAAATTTTATTTAAATACTGCCATGCGTATTTACAATCCGGTTGAAAATTATTTTTATGTGTAAAACAGACTAATCAATGATAGATGTGATAATTGTATAGCAAGTTTCTATTTTTTAAAATATCAATTTATTATACCACGTAAAAATATACGGCATGATATTTTACATTATTTTATAATTGCTATGAAAATAATGCAGTATGTTAAACGATTAACTTCTACTGCAAAATAATATATGAACGCCCTATCTTTTCAGTTTGTGACGTTCATTTGGTTAATGCCAAGAGTTACGCTGACTGCTTCTTGCATAATGATGCACTCACGCACGCACACGCACGCACGCACACACATGCACACACGCACACATACACGCACACACATGCACATACACACGTACTTGCAAGCTCTTTCCATGTATGTATATATCGGATATTATTTTTTTCAAAATATTTTTGCACACAGCTTGTCATCAAATTTTTATTAACAGTTTAGTCTAACTTGTGTTAATCTCTACAAAGGTTAATTCAGAAAAATTCTGATCATTAAATTGTGAATCGTAATAACTGTATAACAAAATTATTTAAAACAAACTGCTTGCAAAAAACTTTTAAAAATATATAGGTGCAGTGAGAGACGGCGTTCAATGACTGACGATGTACCGCCACTGTCAGCAAATATTTTTTCATATCCCGTTTGTTTGTTGTTTGTTTGTTGTTTGCTTGTTTGTTGTTTGTTTGTTTGTTTGTTTCTACTTTTTACATCAGCTCTACTTATTTATCTTTGGCATTTATTGAAATTTTTAACATTTAATCAGACTGAAAACTAATTTATTTGTTAACATGTTGTGCCTATTGTGCCAAAGAGTTTAGTTTACCAAATTTGTGTTTTTTGAGTAAGTCGACCTATTTCATATCACCGTAGCCCTATACTTTTTGCCATATTTCATCGGCCTCTGAATCCACCTTTAATTACATGCATGCATACATCCATTTATATTTAGTGCACACCATCCTGTACGCACATGCATCTGTATCGAGGTAATCCTCGCTGTACCACACTTAACCATGTACCATGTACCATGCTTAACCATATCTACTTATACATATACAGTGTATACAAACGTACCTACACAAACTTGTGCAATACACCTACATCCAATTGTACAATGTACATACAACACACACGACCTTACACACATACACACGCACATACACATACACAACATACCTGCTCCTATATACATGTATATGTGCATGTATGTATTTATGCATATATGTGTACAGTATGATTAAATAGAAAATAGAAACATAGATGAATGCGTTTGGGCGCATTGGTATAAAAATTTTTGCATGGGCTCAGTAGAGGAAGAGCAGAGAAGAAAGAGAGAGAGAGAGAGAAAGTGAAAGAGGAAAAAGAGAGAGAAAGAGGAAACGAGAGAGAGAGAGAGAGAGAGAGAGAGAGAGAGCAGATATATAACTCATACGGCCGTTCTCTTGTATTATGTATAACTGCAATAGCCGATCCAGTCCAACTTATCAGTTGTAATAACTTTTGGCGAAATATTGGTTGCAGCTAAAATGTTAAGACCCTCAACAACTATCAATGTTATCTCATGAATTAATATTTTTTCAGTGAGGGAATGATTGCGATGTTGTGTAATAGTAGATTGATTACCAGCAGTACGTGAACTAAGCCGGAGTTAAGAGATCCTAACCTTACAACAAAAAATTGATACAGCATTGTGAGATTTAATGCAACTTCTAAAGAAACATTACTTTGAACATTTCTTTAATTAATGTGAATGCCTATTAGTTCCATTGTGTTTGACAACAATGCAAACTATTTAATAAAGATTCATATTCCTATTTAGTCTACGATGATATGATACTGGTTTGGATACATAACGCATATGTTTGTCGAGAAATTTTGATAGTCCAATGGTTTAGTAGCCGGTTTCGAATTCACTTGATTCATACTTCCATGTTTCGCACTTTGCATGTGTGCCATGATTGCTATCTATTAAAAGTAATGTGAACCTCTACTATCGTCTCTATGATGATGACGATGAGGAAAATAATGTTGATGATAATAATTACTATAGCGCTAAATGATGATGAAAATGATGCTAACCGTGATGGCGATGTTGCTGGCGACGCCGATGACTATTGTTTGTAATAACGAAAGTGATGACGTCACTGATAACGACAGATCAAATCTCAACAAGGATGTAGAATAGGGTGGTTACAATGCTATATGTAAAAAAAAATTTCGAAATCTTATCGGGGAAACCCCCTAAATTGTGCCACTTGACTAAAAAATGACATTTGTAAAGTTTTAGCTCAATTGGATAATGCTAATACGTGCCTCATCGAGGTTGAAATTTCGAAAAATTGGAAAATTTTGAAAAAAATGCAGTTTTTGGTTTGTAAAATAAAAACGGTTCACTCTAGAAACATGATTTTGGTTTTATTTTGTTCATTGATTAGTTTTCTTCAAATGTTATTAAGATCACTATTTAGCTACAAGTTATAGTTTCTGACATATTTGCATTGTTACAGATACACATTGGAAAAACGTTGAATTTTTCCATAACACAAAAACACACAATAACTTATAAAGAAATGTTTTTAAAATAACACCGTTGTATCTAAATCAATATTATTAACAAATAAACACATTTTTTATTCATATTATATTGTTTATAGTTGTTATACATCAAATAAGTTTCTACTTTAACTCGTTGTTCAAAAGGTAGAGNNGCTCGGATAAAGAGGCTTTTGAGCAACTCAGGAAATTTTGTCCGACATCAAATTACTTGCAAAAGATATTGTTTTTGTTCTTCATCTTTTGTAATACATGAGTTGTAATCTGTTATTAATTTAACACCCCTTTCTGCTGTATCATTTGTAACTTTTAATCCGTCCACAATCTTTTTACTCATTAAATATTCTTCGTTATTACTCCATAATTCTGGATTGGTATGCAAAAATTGATCATTAATATTAAATCTTTTTAAAAAATTACTTGATTGTGATGAAATAAAATGGTCCGCATTTTTGTCCAATATTTCTGATACTTCATTTATTTTTATTAGTGGTTTCATATCACAGTAGTCATCAAGTTCTTCATCCTCATTTGCTTGAGATATTAATTTTGTTACCATTCTCTTTTTTACACAATTACTTAATGAATCATCGAATAATGAAAAAACAGCCTGCTCTGGATTGAGGTACTATATGTGGTTGATAAATTTTGAAACTGATATATCTGAGATAAATTTATTGACTATTGTAATTTACCAAAGATTTTAACAATTGTAAATCTTGGTTTGGAGCAAGTGCAGGTTTCGGGGCATCCAACCACACTTTCACATAAATATTTATATTAAATAGGCAAATATCATGGAATCCTTGCTTTTCAAAAATTGTCAGTTGAAACTGTTCTCTGAAAAGGTATATTTTCAACGAATATATCGCTTTTGCCATCCACCTTGCGTGATGAAAAGCGCCAGGAGCCGCAAACACGATGTTTTCTGACGGAAAGCGTTCTAAAAATATAAGACAAAAATTAATCAATTCTTTGTAATCGCTCCTTGGATGATGAACTGTTAATTGTTCTAGAAGATAACTTGAAATTTTACCCGGATTATTCAATTTGCTGGCTACACTCTTATCTTTAACTTCAGATTTAAATTTTTTTATCAATGTTGTTCCATTCAGTTTTAAATTTTTTGAAAATATCCGATTGAGGGCCTGTAGTCTTTCCCATCACAGCATCAAAAACGGATCTTAAAACTACCTCAAAAATGTGGTGGCGACATGGAAGATACAATAATTTTTTCTCCATCAATTGCTCTAATAAAACGCAAGCACCTTTAATGCGGCCAGTATTCACGGTAGTTGTGTCAAAGGACATTGCTTGAATCTTATCAAGTGCACCCCACTTTCCAAATTCTGAATAAACAGATTTTGCAATTGTACTGCCAGCACCATTCTCTAATTGGGGAACTCCAATTAACTATTCTTCTTCTCCACAGCTAATTAAGACTGCAACTCTTTCAACATTTTCTTTATTTAACATATCTGGAAGTAATTTCCCATCCCAATGTACAACTGCTCCTTACCAAAAATGAGAAATCGTAGAAAAACCAAAAGATCTTAATATTAATACATAAAAACAACATAGAGCACCCGGGTTAGTAATAGTAAATAAGTTATTGTGTGTTTTTGTGTTATGGAGAAATTAACGTTTTTTCAATGTGTATCTGTAACAATGCAAATATGTCAGAAACTATAACTTGTAGCTAAATAGTGATCTTAATAACATTTGAAGAAAACTAATCAATGAACAAAATAAAACCAAAATCATGTTTCTAGAGTAAACCGTTTTTATTTTACAAACCAAAAACTGCATTTTTTTCAAAATTTTCCAATTTTTCGAATTTTCAACCTCGATGAGGCACGGGTTAGCATTATCCAATTGAGCTAAAACTTTACAAACGTCATTTTTTAGTCAATTGGCACAATTTAGGGGTTACCCCGATAAGATTTTGAAAAAAAATTTCTTGTGACCACCCTAATATAGAATGATGACAGCGAATACTTTCGTTTCATCAATTAAACTTGTAAACACGGGGACATAAAGAAGCAAGGCCATCAATCGTCGCAGCATAAAAACACGTCATTCCCCTCAGTAACGACGTACAACTGCACTGTACACATACACACACAACAACCCAGACAACCATCAACATCCTTCGCTACAACCACCGACCACAAAAACACACCACTCAGCAACAACCCTAACAACATACTAGTCAACATTAACACTATCGTCTCAATCAGCAGCGATAGCATTATTCTTCAACAACAAAAAATAACAAACGGCAAAAACCTTTGAAACGTCAGCCAAAAAATGACAATAAAGCAATAATAAAAATTATAAAATGTTTGGTACCACAGCAAGGACAATAAAAAAATCGCGAACATCTAACAAAAAAAGTTTCGAACATCCAGTAACAACAACAACAACAAGAAAAAACACCACCAACAACGACGACGACGACGACGACGACAACACTGAAACAAACTGTCGATGAGACAGTACATGGTTGCCGGCGCATGTCGCCATGATGGCAGTTTGTTGTTTTGCATATTAATTGTATCTCACGAGCCTCGAGGTTTTGCTTAGTTTAGTTTTTCATGTTTGTTCTTTTCTCGATTGCTTTTATTTATTTATTTTTTATTCAGCTGAATTTTCATATTTTCATATAAAATTTTCTCGATTGCTTTTATTTATTTATTTTTTATTCAGCTGAATTTTCATATTTTCATATAAAATTTTTTTCCATTAGTTGTTTGACCAAATCAGCAAGCTGAGCGTGTTAAAAATCATATTTTATCATTTAAATTTTAATAACTTGTCCACTTCTAATGGCACCATCTGGTCCTGTGTGAAATTCTTCCTAATAATCCGAGATTGTTGGCAAATGCACAACGTGTAACTAATGATGCAAGTGTATATATAATACATCGGTGTCACACCACAAAGTCATCAGATGTTTGATTCGTTCTCAAATTTTTCCACCTGATTGACATTTCTTACCTGATGAGTCTGCTTGGAATCAACACGACAGCCTTTCTACCATGTGCATCTCGTGAAAAGACGTTCAAAATGTCTCAGCAATCATCGGTTTTGCTTTATGAAACTTTAATGGGAGATATGCGAACTATTAAAATTTGCTAATGTAAAATACAAATCAGAATTTATAAACTTACGAAATCATTGTCAGAAAAAGTAATTTGCATGCATGACAACCATGACAACATTTAAACTGCAACCAAGTTTATCTTTAATACTTTTTTATCTATGTTATTTATATTTACAAAGCGATAATCGGTGGTATAGTTCGTTTTTTTTCTCGTGGTCTGGTTGGTTTTTGAACATATTTTTACTTATATTTATAAATTCATTACAGTATTAAATTCAATAAAAGTTTTTGCGAAATTGTGTTGTTTTTATTTTCTCATGGTTTATTGTTATTCAGATGAATCTCCAATTTCACTTACAGAACAATTCGGTTCCCTTACCTTATCTTATATTTATAATATATATATACTATAATTATATATAGGCTTATTTATACTTGTCTTATAGTTAATAAGTTTTAGTAGCTTTAGTTTATTTTATTTTACAATTTTGGCAGGGAGACAAACTCAAGTTTAGTAAAATAAAATTATAAAAAAAACACATACATAGAAATAGTACAATACAATGAGTTGCCAGAGAGGAAACGTGACGAAATGCAAACGACCCAAGTTCATGAACAAAACTGCATTCAAAAATAATTTGCATGACACAAGTGATCTAATAAAAAGGATCAATGAACTTGAAGTCAGCAGTTGTTGCAACAGATGCAAAGATGTCATCGAATGGAAGATCAAGTTCAACAAATACAAACCTCTCTCCCAACCTAAAAAATGGTTGGTATCATTTTTCTTTCTCATTGTTTTGCTTTGGCAAGAATACTGTGTCATTGTAGAAATAGATAAATTACAATGTCACAATAGAAAAAAATTAACTATTTGAAATTGCAGTGTCAAATGCCTGCAGAAGACTGTGAAGAACTCTTACTACACCGTTTGTTTGCCATGTTCAGAAAAGCAGCACATCTGTGGCAAATGTTGCACGAAACTTAACGATAACAATGAAGGAAATGACGTAAATGTAAACACGAAGCCGAAAGTGAAAAATAACAAGTTTGTTGTCTTTGAATTCAATTTTTCATATGTTTTTTTTAGACCTTGTTTAAAGATTTGTATATTGTAAATATTGAAATAAGCAAATAATTTTTGAAGCAGCACAAAATCAGAAAATGTTGAAACCGAGCAACATATTGCAAATGTGACTGAATGGAACTACAATGACATGGTAAGCAACATCAATGATGAAAGTGATGATGAGGAGGAGGAGAAGGAGGAAGCAAAGACAACAAATAATGCTAATGATGATGAGTATTGTTATGGTTGTAGTGATGACGACGATGATGGCGACGATGATGATGATGATGACGACGATGATGATGATGACGACGACGAAGATGATGATGAAAATAAATATGAGGATGATTGTTGTTATAAAAAAGATGGTGATAATTTTGTAGTAAATAATCAAAAATAGTCACGAAGCAAACATCATTAGGAAATAAATCTCAGTGAATAACATTCATCTTTATTTTATAAATAATAAATGTACATTATATGATTGCTTATATTTCTGTGTGTGTTTTTGTATGTGTATGCGTATTACGTATACTGTATATGTAAATATATGTAAATTGTACAAAATGTAAGGTAAAGTACAAACACTTTGATTATTTACAATTTTATAACATTAGCTACTGAGGTTGGATAGTAAATAATTTACAACAAACGTTTACAAACAATATAACAATGAAATTCATTCACAAATAAAAGCAACATTAATGATGGGATGAGATGTTCAATGAGCAGAATTGTGGATTGTTCACGAAGTTGTACCGCATGAACAAGAGTTCTTGAATGCACCCGTAGATCCATGCTCGTTTTCAGACGATAACACGTTAATTGTTTTGGCTATTGTTTGGTCTTCTCTGTCTCTTAATAGTCTTTAGAGGTGTTAGTTATTTAATTTGGAAGATTTTAATACTGAAATTGAGATAGTGTTATTTCAATTTAGATGATTTATTGAATGTTGCATGGACATTTGACTGATCCAGAAATCTTCATCATACAACGTAGGCACATTAGTGTGAAATGTTTGAAATATTTATAATAGCAAATAAATCCACCTTGACATGTATTTCATGCATTCGTCTATGTTCAGACCTGTCACTGAGCTTGTTTCGAAGAATGAAGCATTATACTCCTGGCGTGTATTTTTAGGTCGTTTTACTCGTGAAAAATAAATGTTTAAACAGACAGCAAAATGCATTAGGAGTACAGTTAATGACGAAAAAGTCTATGCAGGCTACAAAAATGGATTGTTTCAAATTTAAATAAAACTGTTTTGAATACTTTGTTGGTTAACGTGAACTTACGAAGAGCAAGTAAAAAAAATATACGATAACTCAATTTTTAACCATGTCCAAATATGCCACATAACAGATATCGGAAAATAATGTGCAGGTTATCAGAAAAAACGAGAAACGACAGCTGTTATCAATGTAAGTAGACTAACAAAAGCGAGTCTCCTAGCTTCCCCTGGGTATATGTACGTCCCTACGTCGCCGTTAATACTAACAAGGTCCTTCTTAGAACCAAGTAGCATCAACGAAGTTCCCGGCTCCACGGAATTCTAGGTTAATTTAATTCATAATTATAATGTTTGCCATTCGTATATAAAATTTGAGTTTTGAACAGGTTATCGCTCTAAAAGAAGTGTTTAAGTTTTGGGGTGATAATTTTGATGATTGAGTATGTTTCTTTTGTCAGTTGTACGATTTTTTACAATAGAATTTTTTCGGGTTCTTGAAGTAAAAAGTGATTAATACATGAATTGTGTGCATACGCACCTGAACATCCTCCATCCATGATCGCACGTTGAAAAAAGACTGTTGGTTTGTGACATCGTACATCATTATCACTCCATCAGCTTTCCTGAAGTACTGCTTAGATAAGCTCCTGAACCTTTTGAAGAGGAAAACAATGATATAATTACTAAATAAACAGCAAAACCAATATTAAGTAAGATTGAGAATATTAGTCGTATTAAAATAGAAAAGTGAAAGTGCTCTCTTTAATCGGCTCACGAATATACACTGTGTTTTAAATATTATTTTTCTCCTTGATATCGTGGAAAATATAAAATCTAACTAAAAAACTATTTTAATAACTAGCTAAGCTACATGTAATACAAAATTGTTTCCGTTGCAAATATGAAAGCATGGAGAGAGGTTGAAATTAACCGATCAAGTGTCGGTAAATGAACCAGGAGATAAATTATTTAATTAACGAAAGAATGTATGAATGGAAGAACAAACAACCTCTCCTGGCCAGCTGTGTCCCACAGCTGCAATGCCACAACTTGCTTGTCAACCTTCATGTTGCAAACTTGAAAATCAACCCCTTCAGAAGAAACATTCCCCATTCTTATTTGTCATTGTCAAAACCAAACTAAAGTTTAAAGCATGGATATATATAATCCATGGTTTAAAAGCCTATGTAAAAATTTTTAATTCTCAGTCAAAGTACGATTCCGTGGAACGAGTACTGCACGTATTAAAGATAAAATGCGTATCTGACAATCCAAGATAGATAACGTTTCAATTGGATCACTCAAAAAAAGGTTTAAGACAAGGCAATCTTAACGGCCAAGCAATTGACAATCGAGAAACAAAGTCAGAATGACGCAAGTCTTTGAAATGACCGCATTGCCTCTGACTTTGTACATCATGGTAATAACGTTTCACACAAATTTAATAAATTATTTTACTGAAATAAAACACACCACCAACCAATTGTAGATGATAAAGTGTTCTGAAAAGTTTGCGTGCACACTCTATGAATGAACGTTGTCTTGCCAACGTTGGAGTCTCCGACAAGCACGACCTTGTAAATTCTGCTGGCCACCAAGGACTCATCCAGCATCGATTCATCATCCTGCATGTCGGCATGTGTTATCGTCCGTTATCATCTTCAACAGTTATAAGAATGTTATCTTCATACGCCCCAAGTTATTTGCAACAAGTATTTGCACAAAATTTAAATAAATGACTTATATCAACAGTTCTGTCACCTATTTTATGTTAGAAAATTATTTAAATAACTGACGAAATTCGAAATATTTCAATATAAAGTTTCAATTGTTAACTTCAATGAAAATTGAGGAGCTTCAGCTTACGGATGAATTTGTCGAAATTATCTCAATGTCGTGGACCAGATAATCATCATCCACTGAACTGATTGTTAGGGGGAAAAATTAAAAAAAAAATTTTTGACAACTAATTTACTCTTTAAATGCACTAAATATAGCGCTATGTTCAAATTGTAAGATTGTATGAAGTTGAATTACAATGAGAATTCAATGTTCATTGTTATCGATTAGATACGGAGATTCAAAGCTTCAACTGTAAACTAACAAATTCCTGGGAAATCTTTCATTGGACTTCTCCTCTTCAATTCTACCTTCCTCACTCGCCGCATGTTCAACTCTCCAAGGAGATGTCTTCAATTTTATAATACATTTTTTTTATTCTTAGATACAGTACAATTGTTTCCTATCAGTTAATTAAGCAAACTAACAGATGACGAGTACTCATTCAAAGTCCTCCATAAGAGATGTCACGTTCTGAGAGTAGCAACCATGGGTTTCGTTTTAGTATAGTACAGAGTAATTGCCTTAAAGGCATCATGACTTGAGAACGCATAACTCAAATTTTTTGAAGTAACATCAGCGTGATGTCAGGCATCTATTGCAATTGGCACAGGACGATGCACAGTCTACAATACAAATAATGATTAAGAGGGACCCGTGAGAGCTAGGGAATAAAATTATGGAACCGCTTTCCAGGTCATGTATAGTTCAATTTTTATAATGACTTTCCGTAGTTATTTTATATACATACAAAGTTTCAACACGGTGAATATTTAAGATATTTTATACAATGTTAATGAAAAAACGTTATTAACAAAAAAAAAGAATATATTTACAAGTCGTTCGAACTCAACTGTAAATATATTTTTTGAGATAACGACGAAAAACCCGTTGTTTCAAGTCAATACGAAAGTGAAAATTTGTGACTCTGAAACGAAGAAATTACAAATGTGACATCCTTTACGGAGAGTCTTCTTTTGACTTGTGGAAATGGCTATCGCCATGATGATACCTACTCTTACATTTACGTAAAAATAAAAAACAATTCAAAAACAATACTCACCATTCTAACTTCTATTTCATCATTCAAGTCTCTTAGCTCTTTGTTTTTTGCTCTGAAATTTTATTTTATTCGATCGAAAAACTCATTAAACATATTAGAAGTATTATTAACAATGTGAAACAACTAAACGATCTAAGAAGCAGTAGACGTTGGGCTGGGTAAACTTAATTGCAGTTTGTGTTCACTGAATTATTATTAAATTGCGTTACGTAAACTTTGCGATTTCATGATGTGGAAGCTAATTCAATTTTCCAATCTGTCGACTCAAGATTTTGTTCTGATTATGACGCAAAAATATTCCATGAGAATGCTTAGACTGAAAGTTAAATCAATTCGTTGAGCTATGCCTATTATTTGATATTTTGTGAGTCAAGCAATCAAAAAATTACAGGTCGGCACAACGACACAACTTTTTATGATTGGTTTATATTTTAATGAAAATGCAACGCGTCTACTAGATAACATTGAGATAATGCACAAATCAAAATAATTATATTAAATGTAACTTTAATGAAAATTAAGACTCAATTCCGAGTTTATAAAAAAAAATACATATCTACAGAATCTTACTTGAGGTCTTCAATCTGTTTCAACAAATTCTGCCTTTCCAGGTCAATCCATTCTGCTATTTCAATAGCAACTCTAAAACAAACATCAATCATTGGCAATATTGATGACAACCGAACGATCAACAATCAAGCAACAATCTACCATCAACAATCAACAATCAATTCAATGCTAACTGTTTTTGAGATATCATTTTATCTTGCACCTCATTAGCTGGCTGCAAACACTGCTGTGAATCACTGTACTTTTTCTCGATAACCTGCTTCTCTAGAATCAATTTCTCGTTTTCCGCTTCTGTTTTCTGTTTGGTTCTGTTAACTTCTTTCAGCTTCTTTTCCATCTAGTGATATAAAAATAACTCGACATGTCTAAAACTTACATCTTCATAAATGGAGATAATAAAGAATAACTGAAATAACTGAAAACTTATTACTTCGTAGCAAATTTTACAAATGAAGATAAAACTAAACGAATTTCATTACTACTAGTAAAAACAATAAGTTTATCGATTATATTCGCCCGACACGAATAAACGGAGTGAACTGACCTCTTTCTGATGCAGCACCAGTTCTTGCAGCCGCTTGTCCTTCTCTTGAAGTTCCAACTCCAATTTCTCTCTCAATCTGTTTTCTCGTTCTTTATCCTTAAGAAAAATTCCGAAATTTAAAACCAGCTGAATTCATTTTAACAAAACTTAAATGACATCGTTAGTTTTGGAAACTACTATATATTTAAAAGATGTTGTTGCAGATAAAAATAACACAAAATAAACAGCCGGATTTCTTTTGTAACCCATATTTTTTTTTTAAATTTACGTTAGTGCCATCACCATCACCTTTCAACTTTAAGACCAAATTAATATTTTGCAAAACATCAATGATGTTATTACACCTAATATAACTATCATGTCATTATAGCATTCATATTTTATAACTACGTCACAATCTTTAAAATCTGCTTGACACTTAGCTCAGACGGCAAAAGTGTCACTCACACCTTGCATAGTTGCTACGAAGCAATGACCTGCTTCAAATGTTGTCTGTCCAAATCTTTTGTGTGTTTGATGTGGTGAAATGTGCAATTACGTCGTCAGTGGATCAAAAACCTTTGTGGTCTAATTTTAAGTTGGAACTAAGTATGAAAAGAAATGAAAGCAGCGCACACTTGTCAGCGCTGCTTAGGTACCACGTCATCATTACGTCACCATGATGTCGTGCAAATTTATATCTCTTTATCGGAATCACCATCAGCAGAGTCATCCCTTCATCATCATCATTATTTTCATCCCCTCATCATCATCATCACCTCAGCTCGAATTCTATCCCTTTCTTCTTGCAGTTGAGTTTCCATCTGCGCATACAAGGAGTGTATTTCTTCGTCATGAGCGTTCTGGTGGCTTGTTTCATGATGGTGGAGGATGATTTGATTGTGTATGATGATGATGATTTGATTGCGATGATGATGATGATGATTATATCAAGATGATAATAATTATGAAGATTAAATTCTGTTAAGTATGAAAAAATCATATTAAAATAAATGCTTAAAGCATCGTGATAACACAAGTTCTTGATAAGAAAAATGAAGTTTAATATTAAGTCAGTAAGTACGAAAGAGGAAAAGCTCATTTACTGTTCGATGGATGTTTGTAATGCCTTGTAATCAAGATGTGTCCTCTGTAATGCGCCGACCATCCTGCCTATGAAATCTTCGAAATTTTTTAACATTTCGGGTTGCTGCTTGTTCATACGATACCACAGTGACTTCATTATTCTCATGCTTTAAAGATCAATTTTAAGTTTAAATTTTCATTGGAACATATACAATAATGATATTATGCTACACTATATTTCAATCTTCTATAACTAGATTGCTGCCCGAGATAGTAAGTTATCTCACTCGTCAATCATTCCACACTGTGAGAGATTTTTAAGAAGATTGTTGAAGTTATCAGACTGGTTGATGTTGTTGTCACCAACAACGCTGGGTGGATCATCTGCTTCGAAATCAAACTCAGGAGAGTTGAGGATGGATGGGGATGTTGGAGAGAGACCCACAAAACTTCCTACCAATTGTTGTATGTTGTGAATAACAAAATGTATATTTAAGAATTGTATCAATATAATACAAATTTGCAGTCCAAATAAGTTTTTAACATTCTAAAAATTGTTCAACACAAAATCAGCTTTACAACTATTTTGCTAGGTCAAATAATAACTTCATATATGTTTCTTATAAAAACTGCCAGTATGAACAAAATCCACTGTGAATAAAAATTGAAAAATGCAGATTTTAAAAATGATGGACAATAGACAACCACATTTGAATAAACATTATAGATCAAGATAGTTGAACAATATAATAATACATGGATTCAAATGGCATCCAACCGAATCCATTTGTGAATTCCTGTAAAGTGAGGTAGCCCTGTTTTTGTGCATCCAAACTGTCAAACACTTTTTCTAACTGCTCCAAAGATAATGGTAGTTCGTTCTACAAATTAAATTTAGTATATTAAACAAGACCAATATAGTTGCAAATGTTTAAAATAATACATTAAAATTATTTTGTCATTCATGACTTTAAAATATTATTTTTATTTTTAGCCATTCATTTTAAGATCTGAAAGACACAAAAAATTTCAAATATTATAATTGTAACAATCAAATTTCATGAGTAAAATTATATAATGCAACTACTATCCAACCTATTAGCAAAATTACTGGAGCCCAGCCATTGTAACAATAAAAATAAACCAAAATTTAAAAACAATTTATACTTAAAAAATATTGACCTCAAGTCTGTACATGTCTCTCTTTGTGATGAACTCCTTCCTCTCGTGATCACACAAACTGAATATTGCTTTGGCCTTCTCTGCCATAATCTGCATGAGCTCCTCCCTGCTAACTTGCTCGCTTCTCAACATGTTCTTCACAAAATTTTTCCTCCTCAGTTCCGGAGTATTGTGATGTGATGGAACTTTTGTTGGCATTTCATTGCTTGTTGAAGGATACCTGATACAAATATGAACGCCAAGTACAACCATCATGTAAGTAAAGTTAAGTTATTTAAACAACATAATTTAGACTAATATTGCACTATCTACATATAAATTGTTCCATGGTCTAGTTTAAATTCAGATTCAAAATATATTTTAAATTCAATAGAAAAGAAACAAACGTATCACAGATAAACAAGGTTCAATTTATTGTTCAAATATTGTACAATTAATTACAATGCACCACAAATGATGATGATGTTGGTGGTTTGACAACAATTAAGTCAAAAAGTTCACAACAATTACTTACAGTGGTTGTTGTTATTGGTTTTAGAAAGTAGAAACTGTTCTTAAACTTATAAATCATAATCATCTAAAAAAAGCCTTGAAAGTTATCAATAAGGCATTTAAAAAACTAAAAAGTTATAAATTTTTATATTTTTAATAAATCTAATCCAACACCTTAAGTTCCAGTTTTAAAACGTTCATTTTTCATATAACTTGAACGGTGTAAGCATCATCACAACCAATCAAGGTGAGATGAATATTAATTTACCTGTAGGCGGGCTTAAAACTTTTTGGAGATGGCAAGATTTTCATATGTTAGGTAGGTTTTGGTCCACATATAACACCCGTGCGTTGCATCATATAATTGCCCATATATATAGAATAAATAATAAAATATTTTATAATAATTTTGCCACACATCATTCTTTAGCATTTAATGTCTTTGTTAGATTTTTTTTATGTTGAAAAGTTTTCAATATTTTCAGACAAAAAAGATTTAGCCCATTAGAAGAGGTGTAATGAGACAGTAGAAGTTCGGTTAACGCAACTCATTTTATGATTGTCTTCATAAGCGAGTACAACATAGTCAAATGGAAAATTTTTACACAGCAAGAATTCGCTCCCTATGTTAGTAATAAGTGACGATATTTTCCTTTTTTCGTGCTTTAATGGTTGAAGTTTTTGTTGGATTTGAATAAAAATTGTAAAAAAAATGATAAATTGGCAAAAGTTAAGTAATAAATAATGTTAGATAAATCATTAAACTAAAGTTTAACTAACAATTGTTTGATAAATGTCGCACTTGCTTGAGAAATTGGTTTAAAGATTATTATTAACATATAAATGTCACAGAAGAAACCTATGCGAATGAGGTTTTTCATTGTTATTTATGTGTCATTGTATGTACGTTCTTGTGTGTGAGGCCGGATGTTCGCAGGCATGTTTCTATCTGCCATTCTTATGAAGACATATGTTTATACAAGTTAAATGTTCCCATCAGGTTGTTCATCTTATAACTCCTCTGTAAATTTGTAAGGATACTGCAATGAAATTAATAAATGGAACGATGAATTACACGTAGGAATTGAGCTATATACTACTTGACCTGAAATAAAATTTGCACTACTCCGATTGAGGCTTCCTGATAGATGTATGACGTCAATAAGGTCAATACTGTTCTTATTTCCAATTAAATTTGTATTGGAGTGAATTTGATAGGACAATAACCATTCCAAAATAAGATCTAAGAGTGTAATTTTTGAACAAAAATTTCCTTATAGAAACGAATGGGCGTATAATAATATTAATATTAATAATTTTTATATTGTCACGTTTTACTCTTTACTGAATGTGTTTATCCACTCATTCATTTAGATCGCTAAACTTTATTTCATGTGGATTAAGTTTGACCACTGAGCTATAACAACAATTTAGAGATATAAAGAATGTTAATATATTGAAATTAACGTTGAACTGAAGGCATTTGCGTCGTTATATAATTATGTAGGTACTCACACAACCCGCAACCAACATTCTTCTGCCATTTGATGATTCCGTGTGTAAAATATTATGAGCGTGTGACGTGGTAGCTGTTCTGCTCTCCATGGAGTTTATAACGGGAAGAATACGATTGAGCAGTTCTTGTCTAAAATTCAATGGATTGACCCATGTATCTCAATGTTCTGTAAACATAAGTTTAACCTAAATACAAAATTTTAAATTAGATTTGAGTATTAATAATAAAAGTTTAATTTAACAAGCAATCAAGTTAATTTTTCTTGAATACAACTAGAATCATTGAATACAAATCATTTTAAAGTTTACAACAGGTCTAATTCCAACATACAATTCTCTCCGTAGTTGCCTTACGTAGATTAACTCAATGGTACGGCAACAACATGAAACAAAAATAATCTTTAATTACTTAAACATTTTTCTTAATGTCAAAATTTGAGAATTAATGTGAAAGACATAATTTGAAGTGCGTACAAAGATGTACGATTTAGTGGAAGACCAGATGAATTCGAAGTGAGATAATGATAATTCAAAAAACTTAAATATTTAATCCGTTAACAATTTATCAAATTTAAATAAAAAATAAAAGAAACAATCCACACTTGAAAAACTAGGGGGTGGTCAGGGGGACCATGGCCTACCCGTTGTGAACAGTGCTGTTTTGGCCACACTAACAACATTTGAATCATTTCTTGGCCCTCCTTATCATATTTCAAAAAATTCAAAATTTTTCACATTTTGGTCCAATCGTTAACTTTATCTAGAACCGTCACTGCCTACAATGAAAACTGCTGTCAAGGCCAGATTAACTGAGCCTGGAGTCGGCTCTGGAAATACTAGACTAAAATTTAGTTTTAATTTATTTATGTAAAAATAATTTTTCAGTGTAAAAGAACAGGTAGTTAATCAATAGACCAAAAATTGGTTGGTTCACATTTTATTGAATTAAGTTCTCAACTGAATCATTAGTTTGCAAAAGTTTATTTTTTGTTTTCCCTAATTAGCTTGTTGTCTCCTTTATCGATTATACACCGAAATTTAAGATATATACTGTTATCAAGATGTTAATACTAAGATTTATATAAGTGGTTAATAATATATATATATATATATATATATATATATATATATATATATATATATATATATATATATATATATGTAAACAGCATATATAAATATGTGTGTGCGTGTATTATTATATTGTATCAACAAACATGTAAAGGTATGTATGTCAGTCACAAATATTTCATGCAATTTAATGTTTTACAACTGTTTTTTGGCTTTTCTGATATTATCTAATGTCCGAATTTAGTATTTTGACATTATAATAAAAAGTAAAAATATTATTTTGTTACAAATGTTATAATGTTAAATGTTAATGCTAAAATCAGTTATTTTAATTATTTAGCCCGGTGTTGCCAAAAGAATTTCATCCAATTTATAAATGAATGCTAGGCAACAGTCAGCTCAATAATAAGCAATTCAACAGCTAGTGGTGCACATTTTAAGAAAGTTTAACATAAGTTGTTGTTTTAATGCATAATAAGAGCAACCAATAAAGGAAAGCAATGTTTATAATAATAAAATTATTATAATATAATTATAATAATAATTATTATTATAATAAAATTATTTAACGTTTCGTCAAAAATTACATTAAAATGGGATAATTAATAAAAACAGTGATGAATTTCCTAAAAGACGGTGGGGTCTACGAAATCTCAAGTGCCAAACAAAGCCAAACAAATTCTATTATAAAAAATTACCAATCAAAAGTGTCGGAATACAAATTTTCGAAACAGTCCAAAAAAAAGATCTCCGGCCGTAAAAATAGTCTCCAATCACCGTTTGCTCAGCAAAATGAAAGATACATTGCCCTGTTTGACTACGGAGGGTACGGCGAGAACGAGTTGAAATTACGTAAAAATGATGAAGTGGAAATAATCAGTCGAGATGAATCGATTCGAACGAACTGGTGGGAAGGGAGGATTGGTGAAAAAACTGGTTGGTTTCCAAAGATGTATGTATCTCGAAGAGTTGGAAAATCATCGGCTTACAGAAAGGCAACACCCAGACAATTGAACTTAAATGAAATTGTTATGAACGAAACAATCGGGCAAGGAGGTTTCGCGAAAGTTTACAAAGGAACATGGATGAACCAAGAAGTAGCCGTTAAAGAATTTAGAGATAATCAAACCGAAAACAGCATCAAACACGAAGCCAGAATGTTTTGGCTTTTGCGACATCCCAACATAATATCGCTGTTAGGAGTCTGCAACAAGCCCCCTAACTACTTTCTAGTGATGGATTACGCTAAAGGAGGACCGTTATCAAAAATCCTCCGTGACAACATGCTACCTCCAAAAATTATTGTAGACTGGGCCACTCAAATTGCAAAGGGCATGAAATACTTACATAGTGATGCCCCTTTATCAATTATACACCGAGATTTAAAATCTACTAACAGTAAGAACTTTATTTTTTTATTTGGTTGATCAATTGATTTGCTTTTGTTGGCTGCTTTTTTTAAATATAAAAACTCCACACTTTTTTCTATTTAAATTTAACTAATGTTATGTTGAATGCCAATGAGGACAAGATGTTAAAATTGATTCTGCAATCTCATAAATGTTTTCGTCAAGTCTAAAATATATCGCAGATATCATCAACACTATTAATTTTGTCGTTACAGATACTGTTGTATATACTCGTGTTATTCTTTACATACCTTAAACGTGATGTATCAAATGTTGAATCGTTAGAAACGTTAGCTAGCACTTTAAAAAAGTTGAAAAATGGAAAAAGTTACTAAATAACCAATTTCATTCTGATTAATCAAAATTCACAAATTCACTTCAACAGTTTTAATATATGAAACCATTGAAAATGGATCGCTGGAAAACAAGACGTTGAAAATAACGGATTTTGGATTAAGCAGACCAGCATGTCAGACCACCTTATTGACTGCTGCAGCTGGAACGTTCGAATGGATGGCTCCTGAGGTTTTCAGAGATCACAAAATTTCTAAATTCAGCGATGTTTGGAGGTTATATTATGTAATTTTGTATATTTAAAAGTTTCATTTTGCTTCTATATCTGACGATAAAAATTCTATCGAATTCAAATTTTGTCAGTTACTTAATTGTTACTTCATTACAAATTACGGGTTGTTTTCATTAGGAAAAAATTCCCAAATTGTTTGAAAACATGCTAAATTAAAATGGCTGAACAAATTTTGTACAAATGTTAAAAATACTTTGGAATTATTTTTTTTAATTATAATTTTAGAAAATAATTTTAACGTTCACTAACTGTGTACCAGTTTTAAATTTTATATCAGGCCATTTAATTCCCCCAAACCTAAACAAGAAGCACCTTTTGAAACTTCTAAAACGTTTGAGTGATTGAATATATATATATATATATATATATATATATATATATATATATATATATATAATTTATAGAATATTGTAAAAATTATGGTCTATTACCAACATATATATATATATATATATATATATATAATAAAAATAATAATAAAAAAAATAAATAAAAAAAAGTTTGTACGTTCAAAGAAACATTCAATTTCTAAACGCTTGCTCCGAAGCACTCGTATTTATAAAAATATCTTGTCTATTAGAGTTGCATTTATTTATTTTCAATCATTATTCATACAATCTTCAGGTTTGCTACCATTTAAAACAAGTTTCTCAGCGTGTCTTTCGTGGCACATGGTTTTACAGGTAGATACCAAGATACATAACGTAGATAGAAGTCTGAAACCGCTTATTCACATGGAAAGGTATTGTTTAAATAAATACTTATCGCAATACCGAAAAGAAAAATGATAAAAAAAACAACAAATTACGTTTATATGCCGTATATATAAATGCCATTTTGCGGCTTGACGACGTTATGGTTCGAACATTATGAATCTTTACCTTTTAGGCGGTGGTTTTTACGCGTGTTCACGTGCAGAAAAAAGAGAGATGACGACCAGTGGCGAATCTAAGGGGGCGGGCGGAGAGCAGTTGTAAGCAGTATTTGCATATTTTTATTGAAGTCAGTAAAATTCAGTTTTTACACAGAAAAAATTTACTTGGTCCCCTCGTCAAATTTTTAAACGTTTTCAAAATTTTGATCTTTAGTCAAAGTTGTCTAAATTCGCAACTGATGACGACATTCAACATTTGCCCTATTTATATGTTTACACAGAATGGTATTTGACCTTTGCATCAATCTGGATATAGAAAGTTTCATTCGACCGAAACAGCTCTATCGGATATATTTTCTTATGTTTATTCAGCAATAAATGTACAAAAAGTAACTTTGTTGACATTCCTGTACATGAGTTCGACGTTAGATACTGTGAATCATAAAATCCGGTTGGACAGACTAAAATATTGTTATGATTTAAATAAGATTGCGTTAATGTGGTTCGCATCATTTTTTACTGGTCGGGCTCAGCAGATTTCTTACTCTGGTGGTCTCTCGAAACCGATGAAACTTACGTCACGGATGTCTTGATGATCTGTTTTTGGACCGATTGTCTTTAATTTGTTCGTTGCAGAGATAGTGGATTTAAAAATAAACGTCGTTATTATTGCTATGGGTGCGCAGATGACACGGCGATTTGTGTTTCATATTTTCCGTATTAGAGAAACTGACAAAAACTATACCTGATGTCGGCTCGTGGCTGGGTCAAAGTAAGCTATAGTTGAATCAAACTAAAACTCAGTTACTTATCGATCACCTCACTAAGTCATTATTTAGTCTATTAACAAGTTACTTTATCTATTTGCCTTTTTATACCATTAATTTATTTTATTATTAAAACTTTTTATATTCAAACATATTTTCTCTGTTTTTTATTTATTTATTGGTTCATTTATTTTTTTCTTCGTTACCATTTTATACTACTGCCTTGCATGCTGTAACAAACAGTTTCTGCGTCTGTCAGATCCTGATTTTTAAAGAATAAAAAAAAAGTTCATGTTGGCTGGTACAAGGCAACAAAGATCAGCGGTTGAACCCTCATCGATTCAAATCAGTATGACTGATTTCAACGTTGTGGTCCAAGATTTGTCTAGTAATTTTAATTTTGTGTTTCTCTTTCATGTGATTCTTTATAGCGCCAGTTTGTACGGCATCGTGAGTTTTCTCGATAACTTGGCCGTCGTCATACCAATATATTCGGAATTATGATGCCCACACCCACAAATATTATATTTTGAACAAAGACTCCCGATGCACGTACAAACTGGCGCTATATAGAATCACTAAAATTAATAGCTAAATCTTGGACCACAATGTTGAAATCTTACATTACAATAACAATCATTATAATTTACGACTAGCCGAATAAAATACTCATAGAAAAAAGACATCCGATAATAAATATTCAACAATTTAAAAACAGAGGAATCATCAATAATGAAAACACATTAAGTGTTTTATATTGGACGAAGTTGAAGAGTGTAGATCTAATTAAGGAGTGTTAAGTATTCACTTTGAACAAGCAAGGAATCAACAGAGTAGAGTAGAGACACAGTGTATATATATATATATATATATATATATATATACATATATATACATATATCAGGGCACACACAACATATCAATTCGAACACTGAAGATGAGGAACACCAAAAAAGCTTTTTTGTTCTATCATACATAAAATAAACAAAAATTTTGGTTTTGAACTCAAGAAACTTGAGAATGATTTACGATCAACCGGTAGAAAATTCGAAAAGTTAAATAGGAAGTTAACTAACGCCGAACATGCTGGGATTTTCAACAATATATATATATATATATATATATATATATATATATATATATATATATATATATATATCTTGATAAAAACCATAATTAATGTAGTAAATTATAAGATTTTACAAAATTACTGCATAAATATATACATATATATGATATTTAACATATATATATATATATATATATATATATATATATATATAATATATAAATATATTATATGTGTGTGTTTGTGCGTTCTATTTATATAATATATCCATGTTTATATAGTATAAATAATATTTATATAATTTGTTTGTGCCTCGTGACTATGCATTCTATTAAAAGTTCTACAATACTAACCACTTTGTAATTAATTCGAATGTTAATACGGTTCTTTTGTTGGTGTTGCATTCAGTATTGTAGTAGTAATAGTAGTAAGCAGTAGTAGCACTAGTAGTAATAGTAGTAGTAGTAACAGCAGCAGCAGCAGTAGTAGTAGTAGTAGTAGTAATTATAATAACAGCAGAAGGAAAAATAGTAGAAATCTTAAAATCTTTGTCAGCCATAAAATGCGTTTATTATTTAATTCAAATTTGTTTTTCAAAACCAATTTTTTCATTTTCAGTGTTTAAAGATTTAGAAAAAATAGACCAATCATTTTAAAAATTATATGGATTATTTAAATAACGGAACAACGAATCCCTATTCATGGCTGTTTAGTTTATTGATCCAGCAACCACCATACGATGAGGGAAGTATTCTGGAAAGCTTTACTTTCAACAACTTCAATACAACCGCTATTTTGTAAAAGACGACAATCGCAAAATAAGTTGCATAACCTAAAACATAGTTTGTGACTGATTATTTTAAATTCATATTTGAAAAAAAATATGCGAGGAAATTTAAGAATTTGCCAGACTTAAAATACTGAAAAATAGAATAAAACATAGTTAGACCAAATATTGAAGAATATTCATCAGGAATAAAAATTGAAAGATGGAAGAAAGGATGAAACATAACTGAGAAAGGCAAAAATATGAAAAATAAAAAAATATTTAAACGAATTTTTAAAAAATAACTAAACGTTCAAGAGTTTTTAGCTTGCAAGAATGTGTGGGAAGATTCAAGGGAGCAGGATTAAAGTTAAAAACAAGGGAAGTAACAATAATGTGAACATATTTTATTTATCCAATCGACACAATGAAACTATAAGATATTAAGATAATAAATTGTAACTAAAATGTTAAAATGAATAGAATAAAAATAATCAAATGTACGATCCACCCATCCTCATTGCCAATGACAAGTGCATGGGTGTAAGTTATATTTAAAATAGCATTAGACAATGTTTCTGTCACAATAAATAATAATAATAATAATAATAATAATAATAATAATAATAATAATAATAATTGGAATCATAAGTTTTATATTTTGAACTGAGTTTTAGTAACAGTAAAATGAACAGGTGACAGATGAGGATGTAAAAAAATGTAAATGTTGTGTAAACTGGAAATTAAACTTGTCAGAAAAATTAAATTTATGACAGTTCACAAAATATAATTTGGCAAAACATTGGAGTACAAAAATTTAGTTTTACACACAAATACTTTGTAAATTGCAGTTATGGAGTTGTTCTATGGGAGCTGTTGACTTCTCAAGTACCTTACAAAGACTTCAATCAGTGGCAAATTATTGTTGGAGTTGGAAAAGGTTCTCTGAAGTTGTACATTCCAGACTCATGTCCTCAAGACTTCAAACAACTTTTGCAAGGTATTCAACTCTTTTACTCAAATTTAAACAACGTTTAATTAAATAAATATTAAAATTTATTACAGATTGTTGGCAAACAAATTCAAAAATGAGACCGACATTTGAATATATGTTGAATGAATTAGAAAAAATTAGAGATTCGTCATTCATCCACCAAGAAGAGTCTTATAAATTACTTCAGACTGAATGGATTAATGAAATAGGGAGAGAAATGGAAAGTAGGCGAAGCCAAAGCGTAAATATTTAATTTTAAACCATGAAGTTTTCATAATTTTCATTTCATAATTTTTCTTTTTTAGAGTCGAGATGTGGACACAAAGGAAAAATCTATCGAATTATTTCTGGAGAACGTATTCGAAGGAATTAAACAAGAATATAAAGAACTTCAGTTGAGGGAGCTGGAATTGTTTGAAAAACAAATTTACGTCACCGTCAAACAAATGAATATCAGCAGAGTAAGAAACAAAAAAAAAATATTCAGTTGGATGAGGAGGCGACCAAAAAACATAAGCCTGCCAACAGGTAAAAATGTAAAATAAATTAATAAATTTAATTAATTAATAAATTTAAGTGATTTTATCTACGAAGACACATTCTTAGCCTAGCATCCAGGCATAATATTCGTCACAAACACTATTATGCCTTCAGTTTAACTCTTTCGAGTGCATCTTCACTTTGTTACACCGAAACCTTATTATTGTTAAATAATTTTATGGTTTAAAATATATTACATATGTCATTTTTTCAATTGCTAGTTATATTCTATTATTCCTGAAACAAATCCGATTGAGCACAACTTTTTTCTGCAAGAAAGTATATTGTGCTATAAGTGAGCTTTTATCATACCGGCTTTACTAACTCTGGCTAAAAATTAAGTATTTTTAATTTTACATTCTTCCGTACGAACGTTTATATTAAAGGCTTTCGGCACCAACTGCACACTGTGGTTGAAGAAATACATCCAAATTCACCTGGTTTTTCTGATAAATTAAATCTCACAGTCCAACGTTTCCGTCTACAAACGGGTTAATATTTTTGAAACTTGTTCAATAATTGCTTGAATAAATATACAAAATTTGTTATATTTCAGATAACTTAGAAGCGTGTAGTTCTAGTCACACCAATGAAATCGGTACGCTATTCTCAAATTGTATTATATATATACAACAGCAGTTTATGTATAAGAACGTTTTGCAAATTTTTATTTTTTTTCTTATTCAGCAAACCTTGAACCTAAAAAGACGATAGAGAATGCATTGCGTAGTGTTTTCAATGTGGTCATTTTAGTGCCGCTCGGGAGAAATGAGAATGTTGGAATTACAAAGTGGAAGAGAACTTCAATACTTCCACCAAATAACAACGGAAAAATTGCCTCCAGGCCCTTAGATCTTTCCTTGAAACAAGAAACTAGTCAATCGATGGAGCCAGAAAGTTTTAAATACAAAACGTTTACATCGCCACCTTCCTCAAATAAACCGTTTCATGTCGAGATAAAACAAAATGCCACAAAGTCAATAGTCTTGGTTAGGGGTAATAATCCAATCATAGATACCGATTCATCGTCCGTTTTCAGCAACAGAAACAATAGCATAAGCGCACGAGCGTCCATCCTCTCAAGTCAAATGTCGAGATCTCTGTCCAGCATAACGAACGTAAGCAACGGATCTCCAGCCACACACGTCGACAAGTATGGATCGATAACTTCAATTAAACACATACAACAGCATCAGGAAAAAATAGTGAACAGGGAATCGTTGCAAAATTTAAGTGCCAACAGGGTTGCCGAATTGAGGAATTTTTTCACGCACGTGTTTACCAGTCCTTTTTAAAATAAGTGTTATTTAAAATACTGAACAAATCAAAGAATATTAAAATATAAAAAGAGTAGTTAAAAAGAAATCACTTTCAAGTCTATTTTCCGCTATTATTATTATTATTGGTACTTTCTTTTCATGTACTTTTTCTTTCAGTGTAGTCTCTATTAATTTAACCACGCATTATAACATATTTAAACGTTTAGTTTGAGATATTTTCATGATTTACGATGTTCATATCAATAGTTTTTGCGTTAGAAACGTGAACTTGACAAGAACCCAGTACGGTTTGTTGATTCAGCCCAGGCCTCCGTGAATAATTAATGTGCATCTCACACAATATTCTTATTTTTAACAGACTACGTAGAATAACCAGATATATTCAAATAAAGGTATTCATTATTTTAACCGATTTGTGATTAAATCCATATATATACTCGTTGAAAATGTCAAATATACAATATGTTGAAAATGTCAATTTTGTTGTGCTAACCGGACCTTTTTTTGAAAAAATATTAAAATTTTTAATAATTCATGATGTAAATCGAAAAATTGCAGAGCAAACGAAGTTTTTATATCCCCTTGTTGATGTCACAAAATTTTGACCCACTTCCCCCTTTATGGACGGTTCCTTAGCAGCGTATTGATTGTGAAAAACTCTATGACTTTGCTTCGTGACGGAGCTTTAATATTTTTTACTTGCGTCATTAAGGAAAAAGCATTGATAGTGTGAAATACTAAAAGCCGCAATAATAGCACGCTATTCAGATTCAATCAAAATCATCAAACAATCAAATGTGCGTGTATATATTACTAAAAATATATTATGAATAAATTACTAGTGATATTAGTAAGTAATTGATATCTACTATATGCCGAATTAAAATTAATTTTAAAGCGCAGTCATCGTTGACCAGTTAGCTTAAGCGCCTGGTATTCTGCGTCGCGTGTTGTTTTTGCGTGAATTTCAAGTTCATTTGCCATCATACGCCATAATAAAGCGTGCACACGATGCGGTGCTGGCGCGTACGTACCAGCGTGTGTCGTATGTACCTAGTTTTGGTGAGTAGTATAACACCATAAAACTGGAGAAAATTTACAAGCAGCTTGTTTTCGTCAGTTACATCAGCGGTTCTCAACCTGTGGTCCATGGACATTTGCCTGGTAGTCCGCGAGCAAAGTCTAATAGTTATGCTAAGAACTATGTTATACTAACTATGTGAAGTTGTTACGTCACTATGTGGAATAATAATTATATTTATATAAATTTCTAGTGTGCCAGTACGAAAATTTTCAGTAGTGGTCTGCGGCTGAGACACACATTTTTAAGGGGTTCTTGAATCGCCGAGTTACATGTTAGAAAAAAAAGCGAATGTAAACTCGGCCTTTAAACAAAGTTAATAAATAAAAATTTGTTTCGATTTATATACAGTTTTATTTTTTATTGAGTTTATTTGAATTATCTGAGAAAACCAGATAAAATTTAAATGACAAAATTGTAAGGAATAGAGAATAACATAGTTTATTTGAACATGAATGTAACAACATTTATAACCTCATATGTTACACATTACTGTATCTCAAACAATGTCCACCTACTTTTGAATCACCCCGCATATACATATATGTATATATATATAATTACTTTGTTGTTGCTTGTTAGGTCCAAAGATTAAAAACTAACCTTTTCAATTTTTTACAAAAAGATAACTAAAATTTTATTTAAAGTGAACGAAATGAACAGAAGTATTTGAAAAAAGTCGATTAACGCAGTCCTGGTGTAAAATAAAAAATGGAGGGTTTTGTTACTCAGATGATTCCTCAACGTCAGGTGCACACTGAAAACAAAAAATAATAAAATGAACCAAATTAATCAATTGCAGCAACAGAGTGAAAGATATGAAAACATGATATATGTCGCAACTCATAATTAATCAAACAACAATTAACAACAACATTTAATAAGCAATTAAAAAAAATAATTAAAAAAAACTTACAAAATATTCTGCGAAACTTGTTTGTGTGTCATCTAACTTGATCATAAACTGCATGGACAGGAACCCCTTGTCATCAGTTCTTAAGGATGTCCGAGTTGATACCAGTAAGGCCTTTGAAAACGGCCTTATCAAACTCATCTTATATCTAAAATAATAGAGAAAGGCAAAATCTACAAACGTGCAATCTGATTTCAATGCAGACATATATTGTAAAAAATATTAGAAGAGTGGCAAAACGCATGGCCTTCCTACAGTGGCTGGTTTAAAATGCATATGATATGCAATAACTGTAATGCGTGGATGCATGGACACTAGGATGTTGTTTGTGTATGTTGGCAATGCGTGTCGGAGAAAATTAAGTTTTAAAACGTTAATTACCTAATTACTTGGTGCTGAATTACTGAAAATTCTTCTATCATGTCTGAATCTTTCGGATAATCCCACTAAAAAATTAATATTTCTATTTATAACAAAAATACATCTTATTATAATTTTATGAAAATGAAATGCAGTAAGATTATCACGGCAAAGCCATTTCAACTCTAGCATCAACTCCTGAACCCACAACATTAATGAACTGGTGAACTTTATCAAACATATCTCCAACAGTCCTAACAAAAAAGTCAACCCAAAACAACCAACTATTTACAAATTTACCAAAAAATGTATTAGGCGCATCAAATTAATAAAAACTATAAATGGAAAAATGAATGGTTAAGGGATAGAAAAAAATTTAACACTAAATAAAAAAGATTAAATTATGTACATGGTATGTACCAGTGTTACCATACGTGGTCAGCCTGAAGTGTGGTTTATCCGTGGACATCGTTATCTCCAGTACGTCACTTGATGTGTCCAAATCAAAAAAGACTTCCTTCAAACATTCTGACTTTAACAACATTTTATTACCATTTTAAAATTTTATACCATAGGTCAGCAAACATTAAAATAGGTGCAGAAAAATTAAATAGCAGAAAATGTAAATTTATAAAAACAAGATAATTAAAATATAAAAAAAAACAGTAAAAATCATAAAAAAAATAATACTCTAATGATAATTTTGTTGACAACACTTGAACCATCAAAATCATAATTCAAGGTGTCATTTAGTTCCAATGTTTTTAAGCTGCAATTTGTTAACACACCACCTTCTTCAAGCCTATGAGTAAAAAAAATAGATGCTATTTTAACAAATTCTTATAATAATTGTTGTTTATTAGAACAGGCAGAGCAGAGCCTCTATTCAAATTGCCACGGGGAAAAAATTAAAAAGTTATAATGTACCTCAAATTAAACAAAAACAAGTAGCAGAACTGAACTTGAAATTAAATTAACTAAATTAACATAAAACTAATGTTGAGACATCAAAGATAAATGATTTAAAATAACCAAAATAAAATAAAAGGCAAAAGAATTATGACTGAAATAGAAAAAATTAAAAACGATTCATCAAACAAAACTCATAAACCATATTAAAAGATAATAACAAGCATAGACCAATGAATGTCACAAATAATTTGTATCCACAAACTCAGAACATACAGAAGTACCAAAGGGTGGCCCTCCCCAGCATAGCATAATTCGAAAGCGGTCGTCCCGTCAGATGAAGTTGAAGACATGGAGGAGCTACCAAATATGTTCAAGCATTCCTTCAATAATTAAATATTACTTCATTAGCAATTATATATTCTGCAAAGAAAAATTTTTTTAAATTTAATATTTAATTAATTAAATTTTTTAATAAATTTTTCAAAACACACATTTGTTTCATAAAGTAAAATGATCCAAAAGAGCAATTTTACATTCAAAAAGATGAGAACACATTTTATAATAATGGGAGAAAGACAATTACTTACCAGTAAAATTTTGAGATTGATGCTGAAAACGACGTCTTCCTTCAGTGAATAATGCCTAAAGAGATCAGCCTGAATGTAAGCATTGGCCACCACACATTTGGAATCATCTACAGTCACCTTCAATCCATGCTCTGTGGCACACACCAATGCTATCTTACATATTTTTTTTTTAATAATTGATATAAATAAAACATAAGATTATGATGACATTCAGGATTTACATTATCAAATTATATGTGAATCTTTCATTGAATTTATTTTTATTTTATTTATTTTTTATAGATTTTAGTAATTTCAAGTTTGTACAAAAACGTCTTTTAATTTTTTAATAATAATTCTAATAAAATAGTTAAGTTGTTAATACTAACGTAAACAACTAATCTAATCTAATAGCAAGAGTAAGATTTATAAAGTATAGTAAAGTTAAGCTTAAGTAAATAAAAGTAATGTTGAAATTATTTTTTGACTTTAATTTTATTTTATTGTAATGACTAACTAATATTAATTAAAACTTCTTAAATTCTTAATCTTACAACTTGTCTTAACTCAAAATTAAACATTTAAAAAATTTTTAAAGTATTTAAAATTTAAATTGAACTTAACTAACATCTTTGAAATGAACTGCTTTCAGCAGGACAGACATGTTCTTAGCATTGTCCATTTTAGCCACAAGAATATTTCTGTTGTCACTTAATATACCAGATGCTTGAGAAGAAATCATTCCAAAATCTGACTCTATTAAATAATTAAATTAACTTAACTAACTTTTTTGGCGCTAAATTGCGTCGCTTATTTACTGTTTATATTACGAGGAACGCGCGTTAAGTTGTCTCAGCACTTGTCATTTACTATAGTAACTTAACATCATGATGGCCAATGGTCATGATTGGCTCGTTGGCTCGTTAGCCCTATCTTGCAAAATATAGGAATTTTTCAAAATATAAAAATTGCAGAAATTGTTAGCTGAGTGGCTGATAGCATTCATTGCGCTTCTCCACATTAGAAGCATCGGGAAGCGTACATATTTAGCTGTTCAGTTTTTAAAAAAGCATTTAAATTTTATGTTCAACGCACTGAACTGGTGGCTCAACCTAAATGTCTCCAAAGAGGGTGAAAGGTTTTATAATCTTGGCTTAAAATCACACCTCATAACTTGAAAAATGTCAAGTCGTTTAATGAGACCAACCGCTTAATCGGACCACTTTAGTGAAGTTCCGATTTGAACCGATTCAACAACTTCAACCGTAATACTCCAATATAGTTATCGTTTTTTAAGAAGAATATATTATTGAGCAATCGAATTTCGTTCGTCTCCAACAATTCATGTGATGCAATATTTAAAAAAAATTGAAATACACTGTATGGATGTTTCAATAATTATTTGTCACACATCGCATCATTCAATTTATTTGTCACCTTGTTTCTCAAACACATCATCCGCTGTGTTGTGTTGGGAGAGCCAGCTACAGCCGACTAATATAAGGAAGACGTCTATATGATATGCATGCATGCGCTTTCCAACATATCCATCCATCCACACACATTACATTTTAACTTTCCCTTGCATCTTATAACGTTTGTGTTTTTTAATATCACTCCTCATCTAATGAGAAGTTAAACATCTTCCATTTAATGCGTGCATATGTTTACAAGTCGTTTAATTTGAAAATAAAACACCCTTATTTGATTGTTAGGCTTGCAAATATAATGCTATTTTTATTTACAAGTATATCATACATCATTTGTTTTAAAATATGATACTTACGACAAACGAAAAAATACCTATGCGACATTTAAGAGATTTCAAAATTTCGTTGTTGATATTTTTTCTGGAGTACTTTTGGGATACAGAATGTTTCAACCTGGATGTATCTTCTGCAACTTTAAAGCGAGGCCCACCTGGTTCTTACTTTGGTTACTCCATCACTCCCCACAAAGTTGGGCACCACAACAGTGATATCATGTTAGTTGAGAAGTGAATTTAGTTTAGTGGCTTGAAACTGTGTGGTGTTAATAATAATTTAAGGACGTTGATTTAGTTTATGTTGAAACTTGCTAGAAAATAAAAAAAGCTTGAATATTAATCAATTTATTTGACATTATAAACGTTAATTGCAATTTATATTATTGATTTTTTTTATTTATTCAAACTAAGGATTGAAACAGATTAAATATTCTATTGACAACACAGAAGATATTAAGTTAATAGTTGGTACGGTGTGTACGTTATTCATTTTTACGAAACTTTTTGTAACAATCTAAACAAAAATGATCATAAAATAACGAATGCATAACATGTCGGACAAACCAGCTATTATTATCGGATCTGTTAACTAAATGAAATAAACTGTGCCGTCTAAATGTTTCAAACTGTGGTTTCAATCAAACCATCTGCACATGCTTCACACATTATTTTTCTACATCCAAGTTCAACATCTTAAATTAACAACTGTGAAAAGTACAAGACCAGCATTGTTGTGCGTGCTTGTTTGCGTTCTATATTACATGCTTTACACAAACAACATGTACGCATGTACGCATGTGTGTGTGTGTGTATGTGTGCGTGCCTGTGCGTGTTTGTGTACGTCTGTCTGTGTGTGTATGAGTGCGCCTGTGCTTATTTGTGTATGTGTGTCAATGTTAAATGAGATGTTCTGATGAGGTGTAATTAATTATGTGGTGTCTAGAAAAACAATGAATATGGTTTTCTATATTTTCTTTCCACAATTTTTTTGAATCATCATAATTTGTTTACTAGGGTTTTCATATTGAAAATTGGATTTTAATCTGCAAATATTATATGTTCAATTTAATTTTTTTTACTTTAGATTGAATAATTATGATGTCAATTACATTCAATAATTTTTGTTGTTAGATTCCTAGTGGGGGCACCTCGGGACAATGCTTCAGACCCCCTTTTTTCAAATATTTCTCGCCCTGGCGTTCTCTACAACTGTTCTTTCCACGACGAAAACACAGATTGCACGCCGCTGCCAAGCTTCAGAGAGTGTAAATCTCTTCAGCTTTCTTGATGACGTTTTATAGAAGTTAAATAGTTAAACTTAATTGAAATTTTCATTGAAAATAGACCATCATAAAATAAGTAAAGTCATTTTTACATTTTTTTTTATTCCTGAACAAAATTTATGCACAAATAATTATATGTAACACGTAGTTGTGCTGAAAGATGAGGATTATAACGATCAGTGGTTTGGTGGTGTCGTCGTCAGTCAGAACATTCCTTCAGGACAAGCTCTGGTACGTATTATAATACACGCATGCGTTTGTGCATTGTATTGCATTGAAGAAAATTTATAAGCGCCTCTATTGAATTATCCCTAGAGACGCGTCAATGCTGTCTTTTGTTGAAAAGATGATGTTTCAACCGACACTTGAAAACATCACGGCTGATGCCGGTAACGTGCCTTAAATCAGTCGGTAATGAGCTCCAGATTTCGGCAAACGCAACTAAAAACCTCTTTGGCCCAAAATGTATATTAGATACCCTGTAGGTAACGTGGGCAAACAAGGTCACCCAATAAATATGCTTCCATGCTTTGCCGATCTCACCCGAGCTCGATAAGGAACATAAGATATTGATTTTATAACTTCTTTAAGACATTCTGGTACATATTATTATATTTATATGCATTTGCATCAATTCTGTATATATTTTTTAATATTTTATTGAGGAGCAGGCTTTTTTTAGAACCTTTAAAAAGGGATTTAAACTTAACTATTTCACTACCAATGTCTAAAATCTTCATGCTACGCTGAAAGTTTTTCAAAACTGTAAAAATTTAATAATCTCTTGTAATTTAAACTTGTTAGTTTATTAAATTAGCTATTCACATTAACAATAAGCGTGTATTAATTGTGTACGGGAAGGCTTGTGGCCACAAATATGGGAAGGTTTCATCAGCTCGATCAGAAACACCTGGTTGGTGCATATCACTGACGAACAATCTCAAGCCATTCAAGTTTCATTCACCATGCAACCTCAAGCACGGAGGTTACTTCGATTACGCTGTTTGCCAAGCTGGAGTCAGCGCCTTCATTGACAAGGTATCATTGGATGTTCATTCAAACATGTCATTAAGCGCTCTATTCAACACTTTTTTGAGAGTTTCATCAGTTATTTAGTTTTAACATCTTTTAACATTCCATTTAAAATAAATTAAACTTATTTTTAGACGTTTTGGATTAAATTTTCATCTTTATTTTTCGCTCACATGGAAACCTGCGAACTGTTTGTCGATTTGTTACTTTTCAACAAACTTCAACCGTTGACAGATTGGATATGTTAAATAACTTCATAACATTTAATATTAGTAATAATTAGCAAACTATTGAATCGTCATGAAATCTCAACGAATGACTGTCATTCAAAGTATTAACACACATTAACAAACGTTAATTCTACAGAATACGTTCTTTCCACCATGCCACATCCATTTAAGTGATAATTTGAAACATGTGTTTCTTATAAATAAATAATCTTGTTTACTCTTGTCATCCTATGTGTGTGTGTTTGTGCGTGGTGTTTGTGCGTGATGTGTGTGTGTGTGTGTGCGTGTGTGGGATATGTGATAGCGTCTGAAAATGTTATAAAAGATAAATAAACTCGGTTGAAAATCTAAGACTAAAATTTTTAATTTAACTTTTTTAAATAGTTATTAAACACACACAAGCACAACGCACACAAACAAACAAACAAATTATACAAATCAAAGAAACATATATGCGTGTGTTTTTTTTGTCTGTGTGTGCATGCATAATTGTCTATCGAGAGGATTGTATTGGAAATTACTTTAGAATGTAATGTTGCATGTGCATGCGTTACTTGCTGATAAGCTGGAGTTCTCATACTTCTGTTTATCCAGCGTCTGTTTTGTGTGTTTGGAGGTTTGGAAAATATAAAATTTTCTTATCAGTGTGCAATTGATCAATACAAAATAAGATATTAATTATTGTACTATTATGACGATGTTTCAAATGTTGTTATAGGGTTTGTTTCAGTTGAATATCATTTCATTGCTCCGATGTTTCTCTCCCATGTTTCTTTAATGTTAAAGCTTTTTTGAGTTAACATTATTTTGTATTTAAATATTGGAACAACTTTAAAAAATGCTATCATTACCTCAAACTGTTTTAAAAAGCAAGATCAAAAAATGAAAGAAAGCAACATTATTTACACAAATGTTTTTTTGGCATTTGCCAGATTTCTTACCAATGGAAAACTTGTAATTTTTACATATATTATATAAATCCTTATGCGTTGCAATATAGATACATTTGAATGATTCACATGAACCCCGAAGGACGGTGAAATATTGTTGGGGGCACCTGGAGCACACCTATGGAGGGGCGTCGTGTTCGGTGGCAACTTGCGAAATGAGTTAGATGGAGAGGAAGGTTGGTTTGAAATCAACGGACTGAACACCACAAATGGTAACATCTTCAACATTCATTTGATCGGTGGCAAATCAACGGAGAATGAAATAACTCTCAAACCTCATTCCTATTTCGGTCCGTTTGTTATTCAACCGCTTGAATTAATTTTTAAAATAGAATAAAATATTTATTCAATTTTGTTTATAGTTAACTTTTTTTTATTCTCCAGGAATGTCAATTTCGACCAGTCACAATATGGCGAAGCAGGGACGGAAGGTGTACGTCGTTGGCGCGCCGAGGTCGGACAACGTTGGCGAAGTTTTGCTGCTGCAGAAGGTTCACGCGCATACGTTCCTCGTGAAGGTGACTCAAATTTAAAATAATTCAATATCATCATTATCGTTCAGTTTATTTTTTAAACCAACACTTCATTTTTAGATCCAGCTATTGAGAATATGAAAAATCTAACATAATACATAGGCTATTTTATTATATTCATTTAAATTTATGCTGAAATAAATGAATATTTTTTCAGGTCAGATTAAAAGGCCAACAAATGGGTTCAAGATTTGGCCACAAAGTCCTAGTCATCGATGTAAATGGAGATGGGTACAAGTTTTTGACATGTTTCAAACATCGAATTATAAGTTTGATCTACTAACTAATTAATGCAATTAAATTTGAAAATAATCGAATTGCTTTAAGTTTGTTTAATGGTTAATACCTAACTAGCAAATTATGAACAACTCAAATGAAGGTTAGACGATCTGGTGGTAGGAGCTCCACTGTACCATGGTGTGGATAGCTGTGGGGGAGCCATCTACGTTTACATGAGCACCAAGGGTTATGTCAGTGCATGCAATCATTAATCTATATTGTGTATTTATGTTTTGTGCATACACATAAATATTCAAATATATGCATGTTATGACAAGAAATGTTAAAATTAATAGGCAAAAATTTCACATTCTCTTATTTCTAAAAGGATTTAAATTAAAAAAACGTCAATGAAATTTGTATTTATTGAAATATTTCGACTAGGGCATAAAAGAAAATGCAGTACCAATCGTTATTAAAAATACTTTCTGCAGTGCACACCACCTCAACACATCATCTACTGACGCCGACATTCCTGCCGTTGAAAACAATAATCTTTTAAATAAATCCTCTTACAAAAACAATTCTTTTCAACATTTTTCTTCAACCAGTCTAATAACACCACCAGCAACGCCAGCAATACCACGGCCACTACCAACAACCACAACAACCGCTACAACAGCAACATCAACGGCTTCCACTGATCAGACGAAAAACTTCCACGACCCATGGTTTGGATCCGACATCGTTTCACTGGGCGATCTTGACAGAGACGATTTCAATGGTGAGCATAAAATTAAATTCATCGGCGCTACCTTTGAAAAAAACAGCTTTTAAATCAAAACATAGAAAGAAATTTGGTTGCTGATATCATAAATTGAATGTAACAAACAGATTATTTTTTTCCAGATTTTGCGGTTGGTTCGCCATACGAAGGGCGCGGCCGGGTGTACATCTTCAGAGGGGGCATCACCGGTCCGCAGCATCAACCCTCACAAATCATCGAGCCATCATCGTTCCAACATCTATTTAATCTTTCTTTTAGTTCGTTTGGATTTTCCCTCGCTTCAAATGGTTTTGATCTCGATAGCAACCTGCATCCTGATCTCTTAATTGGGTCGTACCTGTCCGATGCTGTCGTCCTGCTGAGGTCATCTCCTGTCATCGACATTCGTGTCAGCATTAAAAATGAACCCAAATTGATTAACCCGAATGTCAACGTTTGTGGGAATGATAAAATGAGAGGGAGAAATGACGGCGTTGGATGTTTTGTGATGAGACTCTGTTTCAATTATTATTTCAGGTTGATTAAAATCTATAAAGTATATAATTAATAAATAATTTATTTAATTTTAATTTTCAAACAAAGGAAAATGCGAAAATCTGGAAAATTAGTTTTAATGTCTCACTTGAAGAGCAACAATTCAGCCAAACATAATTCTAGCATCAACGATTCAGTGTCACAAGCCTATTTTAAATTTTACGTGGAAAAAGCCAACACTACACCGGAAAAATTACCCACAGCCGAAACATTTTCAACATCTTCGCAAGCACCGCAAATGAAATTGTTTAATAAAACAACGACAGCCAGCAGCCAAATAATCGTCCATACGACTGCCAAAGAAAATAAAGACAATGGAAATTTAAATTGCGTTTCGCATGACGTTTACCTTGAGGTGATTGTTAAATGTCGGTAGGAATGCTTCTATAGTAAGATTGAAGTTGAATGGAATGATGTGATTTATCTTTTCATATGTTTAAAACCCTATTTTTATTTAACTAATAAACTTTAAAGAAATATATAGTTTCGTTAAAATAACAATTTCCAATTTTTCAAGTAGCAGGACAACCACGATTATCAAAATGGTATAAACTTCCATCTCAGTTATGAGTTGATATCCTTCACTCCCCTCAATTCATCGTCGTCATCTCATAGTCATTTAAATCCCGTCTTATCAGTTGAAAGTTCCAGAGGATTAACACACGTGGTAAGCTCTTCATCAGTTTTTTTTGCCTTTTATTGAACGTCGACATCACGCATGTCTGTTAGTTTTGTAGCTTTTTGAGGTATTTTATTGTTGCTATTTAATATTTTGATAGATGTCTTTTAACAAGTTTGAGATGTTGCAAATAATATTAAAGCAATCACGGCAACGTTATTAAACTTGGCAGAGGCGTAGCCAAGGAGAGCTTCGCGACCCAACTCCCTCCCTCTAAAAACATTTTGTTAGGTTAAGAGTTTAATTTAACAAAAATATTTTGTAAATTTCATAAATTTCAATTTGAAAGTGCTGGAATCCCTTAAAAAACAGCCGTTTTTGCCAACTTTTAATAAAAATACAGATTTTGGTATGGAAAAATTCATAAAAAAGTGGAATCAACAAAAAAAATGTTTTCGACTTTTTTCTAAAACTTCTAGCTCCCGTGCAGAAAATTTTTGGCTACGACGCTGAAACCTGCTTAAGTCAACTTATTTAATAGTTGATTTTGTTTAGGTGAATTATTTAAAGTCCTGTGGTTCCGACAATATCTGCCAATGCGATTTGAATGTGTGGGGTTTCATGCAGCTTGATATGTGAGTCACATTTAAATAATAAAACTGTGATTAAATTAAATTTTAGCTCAATTAATTCTAGACTATATATATATTAGATAATTTGACTAAGCCAAAGTGATCCGTTCTACTGTATGCTACCTTTGTTTTTGCATTTTTTTGTTCTTTCTTTTCCAGATGTTCAACTAATTTTCAATCACAAAGTTCTGAACAGATCTCAAATGCAATATGCATTATAAGTTTGTGAAATTTCAGAAAACATAGAATACAAGACAAGAAAATTGTTGCAATGTGCTTTCGAAATCTTTCGTCTGAAATATTGTTATTGTTCGTGAAATCAATCGTCATAAAACCTAAAATGTCGGAAATAAATAATAAACATTTGTCGATCACTTCCTCAGAAACATCCGCGGTTATTATGAATTGACATCTACACATCAGCCGGTCAACATGAACATTCAAGTGGGCAACAAATTAGAAGATGCATTCAGCACAAAACTCTACATCATCCTACCAGAACAACTGAGGTACATTGGCTCAGATGATAAGGTCCGTTCAACTATCGTTTGCTTGCTAGATTAATTACAAAACTTAAATTGAAATAATCTCAACACGATGAGCAGGAGTGCCGTCGAACAGGAACCCTGACAGTTACGTGTGACGTGGAAAATCCATTTCCTCATGGCAAGTACGCGTCAGTAGCGTTGCGCCTGGACGCAAGTTTGGTTGATTCGTCGGTGCGTGAGTTGTACGTGCATCTCATTGTTAACAGGTTAACAATGCGGTGTCTCACTTAAAGATGCTAGTTGATTCAACGGTTTAATCCATTATTGACTGTTTATTTGGAATGAATACATCTAGCAGTATGCTTTAGAATTATTAAAACTTGCAGCATTGAACTCATTATATTTAATACTCTAAAACTTTCAACCAATGAATTTCCGTTGCAGTGTCGTAATTAGCGTTAACTATGCAGAGCAATTTATTTCAATTCTGTTGAGATTTGATCGTTTAAATTCTTTAGTTTAGGTTTTTACATCTGCGTTTCTAATTCAGTTCCAGCGTTGAAGTTAACTACGACGACAATGAGGACATATTCGTCATCAAAGTCAACTTATCTTCAGACGTTGTAATCTTGGCGTTAGTATGCTATTAAACGTCATTTCCTCTCATTTGGCCATCACCCTGATAAAAAAAAATAAACAATGACCATAAATATTTACTTGAGCAGTAATGTTCAACCCGAATCGATGTATCGGAATCGTCAAGATCGTTACGCCGAAACTTTGAAACATTCAAAAAATACTGACGATGACAGCGTAGTGCAAAAAGCAAGCATGGAATCCAGTGAAATAAAAATTGGCAAAAAAGTTTCGCCTGTTTTCGGTTCCACGTTGGGAGATTCGTTCGAGCACACTTTTGAGGTGATTGTTTTCACATATGTTTTCAAATCGCGTTCGCTCGTAACAGTTACAAAAATAATATTCAATGGACATCCAGGTTAAAAACAGAGGTTACACAAAGACCGCCAGTTTGAAACTCCACATACAAGTGCCATTGATCTGTGGTGGCCAGCATCGCGATAGAAGTGACCGTGGTGGCGATTATAAAAGTTCGTGCCGTTACTTCATTGACAGTACTACCATTGAATTCGTAAGTGATGACGTAGATGTCGATTGTTATGAAAATGATGTTAACAGTGGTGGTGAAAAACGATGATATATTAGTGATCTAATAAGTCTAGGTTATAAAAATGCTGATTGCACTAATGTTGATCGTGGCCGGGGTGACGAACTATTTCCATTTTTAAATCATTATACGTTTCTGTAAGTTAAGCCCAGCTACAGTAACATTGATGCATGCAGACATGAAAGTCTATCAAATTAAACTAAAATAAACTTCTTGATTAGCTATTTATCTAATAACCTTTCAGTTGAGTGGCAATGGAACTTGCAGGTTGTCATCAACAAATTATAACACTACTTTGCAAGTTAATATCAGTGAAGCTAACGTATCAGTCCAGTATCACGAAAGTAAGTACTGTGCATTTGTAGGTGTTACTACTTTAATGACGAACTAAATGAAATCAAATGATCGTAAAAACTCTTTATATTTTCAACGTTTAAGACGCACGCCGTATGGCATCGGAAGGTTGTTTTATTAAATTATAAGGAGGACGTTGGGATTGCAGGTAACTTTAGTTTCCATGCTAACATGGGGGCCAACGACGATGACGTTGATAGGAGCAAAGAATCGATTTTGAGTAAAATTTTAAAGTTTGGTTCTGGTAATGACAGCTCCGAACAAAATGTTCTCTACTTGGTTAGTCTAACTCGTGGGTTGGCATTATTATACCTCTTTGAACTTTTCAAAAATTATTTATTCAAAATTAATCTAAACTAATAAATTTGAAACGCGTTTAAAAACTGAAGACATGTGATGATGAAAGCATGATGGAATGCATCTCCATCGAATGTTCCGTCCATCCACTGACCAGAGGAGAGAGTGCAGTTGTGTCCGTTCGTCATCCACTCCTTCCATCCTATCTCAATCAATTTCATCATGTTGGTCGATTGTTTGAAAGAGTTTTAATGATGTAATATAATTTATATCATTTTGATAATTTTCTGATAAATTTAATTGTATTTTTAAAAGTTATTTTCAAAGTTTTTAAAAAATCAAATGCCATCTTTATTTAACTACCAATAAACATAAACATAGTTTTGTTAGATATATATGTTAAATTAAAAATAATAGTATAGTATTAATGCGTCCGAAATAGAGCAGCCCTCAGGTGGATGAGATAAAAGTAACTTCAAGAGCCAGAGTTTCAATTCCATCATCACAGAAGACATCAGAAGACATCCATGCATTCGATAGTTCAAACTTTACTCTCGTTAGTAATGTTTAACGTGTTACTAGCAGTTTCAATGCGACAGCTAATTTATTGACACGTGTTATCATTACCGTGCATTGAGTTTAATGATAGAAATAGAAATATAGTTTAGGTATAGTGTAGGTTGAAAATTTATTTTATGTAAATACACAGTGGAAATATTTTTTTTTGAGAAGTATACGGCTAAAACCGGTTAATTGAACCACATGGGGATTTGTCGGTAGACCAAGTTGGTCCGATTGAGCGGATGGTCACATTATTAACCAGCTCTTTCTCTACATCCTAATTTGTTCAAATTCACATAATTATGAGAAATTTTGAACGCTGAACATTAAATAAAAATCCGTTTCTTACATTTTTTCGAACGCAAAAGACGACATTGACGATCTTCCTGAGAGACAATTCAGGCATTCACATGCACGTGCCAATCTGGGCCCTCGTTCTTTCCATATCTCTTGGAGTCCTTGCTCTGCTGCACGTTGTCCTCATCATGTATAAGGTACAGTTATTATTTTATTGTGTTAATAATAATTGTTTGAATAATAAAATTCTAAAAATTCCAACGTCAGTGTGGTTTCTTCAAACGTCCCAAGAGAAATATCCTGGCCCCAGTCCACCAGGCCACCGTGAAGAAACCACTGAATATTCGTCAGATGTCACAACCAACCAGATTTCTTCCACCCCGGCCTTTTAGCAGATGACATCATACTATCATCAACAACATCAACAACAACAACATCATCAACAACATCATCAACAACAACATCATTGCTTTTCTATTTATTTACCTATTTATTAATTTTTTAATTTGTATCTCTGTTGTATATTTTCATTTATTTCGTCATGTTTTTATTGCATTTCAACTATCTTTCTTGGGCATCTTGAAATCATTCATTAAAAACATATTGAGAAGCTTAATAAATAAAACTTTTCAAAAAATTGTGTAATATTAACCATGCTTTTTGTTGAAGCACATCCTCAAACGAAATATTTTCTCTAAAATATCTTGACAGTTTGACAAGTGCCAGGGCTCAATAGCTACAATCTAGATTTGTTAAAATGTTTAAAAAATAAATCGGTGCCTAATTTGTTAGACATTAAAACATAGTCAGTCTGTGCCAGAACCAGACTAGATTATGGAACAAGGTTATGGTGTAATAGACTTTGCATTTTGAACAAAACTTCACCAAAGCCAGACGAGTTATTAGAAACATGAAGAAAAAAGAAGCGTAAATAGACATTCACGTTTAAAGAGGCCTGCATACATTAACACCTGTATCTTGTTTCGATGTTCAGCAGATATTGTAAAGCAAAAAGTGAAACTCAAAAACCGCAGAACATACAAAGTTTTGAATATTGAATGAAAGTTGATTGGTTAATGCAACACATATATACTGATACGATAATAGTGATATAACGTATTTATTCATTTATTCTTATTTTGTTAGTCAGTTAGTTTTATATTATCAAAATACATTTTTATTATTCAGATTACAAACGTTAAGGCCACATAATGCAAATGCAGGCCGTCCATGTCATTGCCGTGACCTCTGATAATAATTGGTGCATGACCTTTAACCTCCGCCTTCAAAATCTGTCAAATGAGATCATGTTTTTCAGCTTGTACGAAAAGTATATATTCTATTATATTAGCGTATGTATATGGTTGTCAATACATATATGTATATATAAATATATATACATATATAATTTATCTCGATAATATATATGTGGTGTAACGTTTGTGTGTGTGTGTGTGCGTGTGTGTGTGTCTGTATGTGTGTGTGTGGGTGTTATTTATATATTAATACATATATATATAATTAATTTTTATATAAATATGTATATATGTATATGTAAAAATTAATAAATTGATTTATCTGTGTATTGATAATAATAAATAATTTTGATTTTTTAAATTTTGTATAAAACACCTTCACTGTTATGAACTCGTCGGTATTGAAAAGTTGCTGGTGTGTTTGCTTGTGAGGTTCTTCCTTCCATGTAGGTCTGAATGAGTTGGACGTTCTTTATAATGCAGAACAGTCACCCATGAAAAAGGCTTGACTGGTTTTTTTGCTGTGATGACACATTCTAATAATTTTTATATTTCATTGTAACAAACATAACAGAGTAATGACAAGCGTATAACACATCAACACATGACGTAAAGACACCAAAAAACGCAACGACAAACGCAACATAAATAGTCCAACAAAATACACAACAACATCAACAAAACCACAAAAACTCAACAACAACACAACGATACAACAACAGCACAACTACGGCCAAACATCACAGCAAGAGACACGACAAAACATCAAAACCGACAACAAGAAACATTCATACAAATCTCACATACCAAACACAACCCACATCTGCAAGAGAAGGTAATTCAACATAAAAGGATGTGACTGGACACTTACGATTATGAATGCTGACAACGTCTTATGGAGTTAACCTGGCTCGTATTTCTCTTGCAAACATTCATCCATTTATCCACCCATCTAATCATCCTCTCATCTATTCATTCATTCATAAGTTCATCCATCTATCATTCACCAATCTATTCCTCTATCCATCGATTCATTCATTCATTCTTTTATTTATCCATTTACCTGTCTGCCATCCATTTGTCACTGGTGAAGTGACATCAGTCCAGTAACATAGCTTCAAAATGTATTTGATTTAACCCAGTAATTATATTTAATTAAAAAATCTAAAATATTTAAATTTCTCCTTAGCAAATCTTAATTTCGTCTTAAAAACTTTTCTTAAACTTTTTAAATATTCAAAATTGATGGTATACAACTCAATACCTCACACACACGCACACAAACACACACACACACACTTACACATACACTAACACACAAACAATTACATACTTGTTGAAACTTGATTGTATGTTTGTGTTCTTATTTAGAACTGTACTCATTCACTCACTCACTCACTTACTCACACACACGCATACACACACGCACACACACGCACACACACACAAATGACATGAAATTGCTATGTATCAACGTACGCATACATATCCCATATTTAAAAATATGTTACTTACAACAGAAATTTGACTCGATGATTTCTTGAGTTACTCCACGGATATGATGCCCACTTACTCACCACATGTTACATTTAAAAGAAGAGACAAATTTTTTCATTCTGATCTTATAACGTTTTTTCGTTTATGTTATAAAGATATCTATCTTCAACATAGATAGTCTAGTAACTCTATCTATATCATGCGATATATCATTTCCAACAGCGCTTATTTTTTGGCGATAAGATATCAGATGGATGCTTGTACATTTATCTCATTTACAATTCGTTCGTTTATTTATTCACTGCACTTTTCATTTTATTTGTTTTCATTTCTATCAATTTTTGTATTCAATTATTCATTCATCCGTCAATCGATCCATCAATCAATCTATCATATCCCTCCATTCATCCAGTTAGCTTGTTCGTTCATCTATCCATTATTCAATTTACCACTTAATTTTCTTAAATTTATTCATTCTCTTTTTTATTTTTTATTTTTTATCGTCTTATATATTTATTTATTTATTCATTTATTTATTTATTCATCCCTCAATTCATTCTTCCATACTTTTCTTCCAAGTGTTTGCGTGTTCTCATTCAATATTATTATATGGTCATCATTCTTTCATTTCAACGTTTCAACTCCTCAAACCCATAATTAAGCAAGAGAGAGAGAGAGAGAGAGAGAGAGAGAGGAAGAAAGATAGAGAGAGGAAGAAAGATAGAGAGAGAAAGGAGGGGGGAGAAAAAAGATTAGGATAGAGCGAGGAAGAGAAGAAAGGCATAACTTTTAAGGCCGAAACCACGCACAGCCGAGTTAATTGGAGTGATGGAATGTCCTTAAGAACTCTTTTTTAATAATAATTACAACCCTGCTCCTTCCACCCGATGCGAAAATATGACTGCGTGCTTTTCTGCTATGTTTGCGCTGTGTTTTTGCGTGTGCTGTACTGTGTTGTGCGTGCGTGTTGTGCGTGCGTGTTGTGCGTGCGTGTTTGTGAATTCGTGTTTTGAATTTTTGTCTGCACGTGGTATGCATTTTTCATGCATTTGGTGTTGATGTGTTCAGTGCCTTGTCACAAACTCTTGTCATGTGCTGTTGGTATTTCGTTCCACATGAATGTTTTGTTTGAATACGTTGCGATATTTTTTCGGTTTGTTGGCTTTTTCTTTACTTTTATAGTCTTTTACTTTAAAGTGCTATAAAAACAACGCTATAATTTGAATTTTATTTTTTTGGTTTTTTAGGAGGTGATGAAATTTAAAAGCCAAAAATGCTGAAATTATATATTTTTTCAAGTGTTTTCTGCTCAGAAAAATTATACATGACAGTTTTATTTCATCTCACTTCTTCGCTAGAATGCAGAAATAATAATTTACCGTCAAATGCCTGTTATGAACGATGATATGTAATTATATGCAGCGCATTTCATCTGCGCGTACAACAGTGAGAAGACTTCTCATTATAATTTCAACACACATGTACTTCACGCTGGCCCCGGGCAATGTACGTGAGAATGTATTGACAACCAACCAGCCTACTAAATAACTAATCAACCAGCCAACCAACCAACCAGCTAAATAATTTATCAACCAGCCAGTTAAATGGCTTATTAACTAGCTAACCAACCAACCTACTAAATAATTAATCAACCAGCTTACAGGACTACTGATCAATCAACCAGCCAACCAGCTAAATAACTTATCAACCATTGAACCAGCCAGTTAAATGGCTTATTAATTAGCCAGCCAACTAACTAAATAACTGATCAATCAACCAACCAACCAGCTAAATAACTTATCAACCATTGAACCAGCCAGTTAAATGGCTTACTAACTAGCCAGCCAACCAACTAAATAACTGATCAATCAACCAAACACCTAACCAGCTTACAACACGAGCGACTAATATACTTTTTGCTTTTTGTTAAAGATTTTATATACACATACTGATCTATATCTATATATGTGATACCATATTTATACAGTATTGTATGAATTCTACCGAATTTTATGCATTAACCAATTTAAAGATTGTCTTTTCAATTTCAACTATAAATTGGTTGATGCAAACATTTTGGTAGAATTCATACAATACTGTTGTCTATATGTATATATATATATATATATACATATATATATATATATATATATATACATATATATACATATATATATATATACATATACTTCTTGAAAAACTTTTCTTTAAAAGACTCTCTAATTTCTTCTGCTCCAACAATACTATCTGCAATAACCAATACGGATTCAGACCCAACCACTCAACTGAGCTTGCTATTCTTGACTTCACTCAGCATATACTAAATGAAATGAATAACAAAAATCTTTCTATTGGCATTTTCCTGGACTTATCCAAAGCCTTCGATGTCATCGATCACAAAATACTCCTATCCAAACTACATCATTACGGAGTAAGAGGCACAGCTCACAACTGGATGAGAAGCTATCTTTCATCACGGACACAATATGTTTCCATGGACAACATCAATTCAAAGCACGCTCTTATTCATCACGGGGTGCCACAAGGATCCATACTAGGACCCCTTCTATTTTCTATCTACATAAATGACCTCTGCAATGTTTCGCCCTCAACCAAATGCGTACTGTTTGCAGACGACACCAACCT